CACTGAGCATACAGTACTTATTAATATACGTTGGGTAAGGGCAAAAACCGTTATATATAATTGACGCAAGCTTGACGTGAAGATTTGAAAGGTGAAAAACTGTGACTGGGCTATTCACTGTAAGACTGTGTGACATCTAGCATTATATTTTTCAATGTTCAAACCTTTCAAAACATGTTAATCTAAAATAACCTTGTAGTGATTCTGATTTGTTGAGAGCCATGATGCTGCTGTCCTTTGCGAAAAAAGTGACAATACCTTTGTTCGTCTCTGAAATGCCAAGCCCATTGCTAACGACTTCTCGAAGGTGGAGCTTCTCTGGTCCACGTCCCTGGCATACAGAATCTGAAAGACACAAAGTCAATTCTTCCAATCTTAGTCATCGGGATAAAAAAAAATCACAGGAAAAACATATGAGAGCTACCCTTAATAAAATGAGTCTCAAGTCGCCTTAAGAAAGAATCTTGGTTGATGTAAACCCACAACATTTTCACCCATGTAGAATCCAATCAAGATATCAATATCAGTGACGCATTATGCCCAGTTTTCTCTTTCTAAAAGCAAGCTACAGAGGAAAAAGGCCTAAAGACTCATTTTGTGGGATCCAATGAGAAGCAAGGTTTATTACAGGGAAAACATCATTCATTTCTGGTCTAATCAAAATTTTCAGTGTCTAGACATTCTCAGTGTCGTCATGTGCAAACTGACCAAAAACACTATAAATGTCCAAAAGTAGAATGGCAAAAAGTAGACATACTTCATCATCTCTCTTTTTGTTTCGTTTTTAAATCTGACATTTTACCTTCATAAAGCATAAATGAAAACTCAGTACAACCAATGAACAAAGAGTTGCACAAATATTGCAGAAATGTGCACAGGCTACCTCAGATAAGCACAAACCTTGTTATGTGAGTCAATTCTAGCATTGATTTGATCATCCAATATGAGCTGCATCAACTCATCCTCAAGCTCTGATACTGTTGTGTTAAACGATGCCGCCATCTTCAGAAGGTCTGCCGACACGTAGGGACTGAAATACTGTGGAGAAAGTTGAAACAAAGTCAAAATTCAGCCTGTTTAAGTTTGTGACCAGTTTTCAACAGAATGTGCACAAGCAATGCATTATGTCAACGAGTCCAACTTCTTGTAGTTTTAAAAGTACTTTTCTTTCAAAACACTGCCCCTAAAGGTAAAAACTTTCAGGGGCCCTTAGGTGGGTCCCAGACCTTGTCTTAAGTATTTGGGACTGCGCAATAGGATTATCAACGTTCCTCCTGCAACTCTGCGCTCAAAGATTCTCAAACCCAACCCCCCACATCCGAAAACTCAGGATCCGCCCCTACTTCGGCTGCAAACAAAGACACAGATGTCATGTCATTCACATGCTAGTGGACCAGCCCGTACATGTACATACACAACTGCACTGGAGTGTCGCCTTCGTTTGTTCATCCCATACCTGTATCAGAGCTCTGTTCCTGATCTGTGAGTACAGCGTGTTGACGTGCGGTGCCAGGTACATGTCTAGCAGTAGGTTATCCTTGATGTCATCCAGGAGTTTCAGGCAGGATGCGTACTTGGACTCATAAAACATGAAGATAATATCCCTGAGCTGAGGTTCCAGCTCAAGGAACAGTTTGAAAGAGCTGTATGAAAGAACAAATACCACAACACTTACGTCTGAGTCGTTCTATAAATTTGAGGACCAATTTTTATTCTGTCCCTGTTACGTCTGCCATATGATTTAGAACTCATTGTTTAATTCCAAGGTTGACTAAGTACTGCAAATTACCTACAAACCAAACAAGAATAGTTTGAGATCAATTCCAGTGATCAATTTCAGATGGTATATATGTCAAAGGTAACAGGGATGGAAAAATGTCACACTTTGGACCCTAAATTTATAGAATGACCCATCTGTGAACTTGATGCATGGACCTCCATAAGTAACAGAAGGCACCCTAAGGGCTGACACGCTACCCGCACGCATATCATCCTCACAACCTGCACTGTGCGGACATTTAAGTTCACATGTCCATAAAAAGGAGACAGTGCTTGTTGGAAGTTGGAAGTTTAACGAAAAACCAGTTTCAGAAGAATTCTAGGGGTTCGAATCACCTGTCCCAAAATTTGAAGAAAAAATTCAAGAAACCATGACTGAATATTAAAGAATGTTCACAGCATGACTAAAATGCCGAGATAAACAAACCCCTCCTCTACAAGTCGACCTACCTGCTAGAAATGACGTTCTTTTGCAATTCCTGCCTATCAAAGGACGCCAATGCACAAAGACCACCGTACATAGCCACATTGTTTGGAGACAGCAACTGGGAAAAAAAGAAAGAGATTCACACAATGCAGAATTACACACTCAAAAGAAATTCCTTGTTATAAATTTGTTCACAATATCGATACCACTGAATTGCCTGTTTCGGAAACAAAATCCACGTTTCCAAAATTTATTTGAATAAAATTTTTACTGACTGCTGCATGTTTCTACATTTCCTTTAAGCCAGTAAGTTACCTCAGTCACATGCTTATAAAATGCATGGTCACTTCTTACATCTCAATAAAAAGCAGTTATATTAAACAATTATGTTCTTCCTGGCTTTTGAAGGTCATCAAAAACTTGCAGCAAGCACTACCTCTGCTGCACACATAACATGCTGTGAAGAAGCCATCTTGTTTTTGAGAGTGCACATAAGGTCCTACTCAGCCTAAGACATATCGCGAGATATGTCTTAGGCCGAGTAGGACCTTATGTCCACTTTCCAAAAAACTTGCAGAGAGCACTACCTCTGCTGTACACATAACTGCTGTGAAGAAGCCATCTTGTTTTTTAAAAGTTTGAATGGCAAAACGTGATCGTGAAAGTTTGGGTACTTTGTGTCTCATCTTCAAGTTACTGAGCATAAACCGATGCTAAGAAAAGTGTGGGGAACTTGATAGGAAGCAACATGCAAACTATAATAGGAAATATCTGTAGGAAACAATGTCTAACTCAAATGGCTGTGGCTAGATGTAACACACCTGTCTATGAATAGTGGCTACAGTCAACAGACAGTGGCTTCCATATGCGCATATGTTATATGAAGCCGAAGCTTAACTTTTAAGAAACGGCTTTATTCCCCCCCCCCATGTAATCTGCTCCAAGTGGTGGATGAAGGTTCATTTTCTGTGAGAACTCACATCAGGAAAGTCACAGTGATCGAATACAGCCTGCAGGAAGTATTTGGCAGCAGGCTTGTATTTTTTCATAGCAAGTTCCGCTAGACCGGCCGAGCACTTCAGCTTGGTCACGATGGTCAGATTATCCTTGGAATCTCGCTGCTGAACAACAGTGGAAAGAAACACAATCAGGATTAATTGAATAAAATAAAACTGACTCACCCTTAAAAAAAAGCACACCAGGGCTCAACTTACTGAGCTCTTGGTTCTACAATGACAGTATCCAGAACCTGTACAACTTCACATGAACTCTATGGTCTATGTATGTGTGAAGTTTCAACCCAATCAGACAATGGACATTGGTACTTCACACCAACATGTGTTTCGGATATTCCATAGCAATGTACACAGCAACCCACAACAGTTGTGAGAAAGAAAATCACGTCCTGTAGCAGGCAAATTGACAGGGGTGAGATTGACCCGTGATAAAAATAACTGAAGACAGCTGAAAAATGCATAAAGAAGCTGAACTGTGAAAATATCCTATATTTCTAAACACAGCCAGTGAGGGGAAAAAAACTGAAACAAAAAAAGCTAAAATCAGCTAAAACGCTGAGAAATCTCACCCCGGAATTGATATGCCAAATGCAGAATCAAATTTATCCATGTTTTAAAACAGAACGAAACAAAGACTACAAGATTGTTCTGCTTTGGATATGCAACCTGTAACTTTGGCTACTCACGTGTCCCTCTGATATCTCTGGAGTTGCCTCGGCCTTGTTGACATAGCTGAGAACATGGGACCAGTTCTGAAGATGAATACTGACCTAGGTATTCAAATGTACATGTAAATTCGACGGGTAATGTATGAATATGCATTCATTTATGAATTTATGAGTATAAGGAAGTAGTCAGAGTCAAAGTACAAACCTTAATCACATTGAGACACATGTTGACAACATGCTTGGCACTGGTACAGTAATCCCTGGCTCTGGAGTAACACTTGAGGGCGCTGCTCAGGTCTCCCTGGTCCAGGTAGTGATCGCCAAGGTCATCATGCCCTCGCCTATATAATGGGGTATGATATAAATCATTGTCATGAAAAGATCATATAATGAATAAAATGTGGACATAAGAACTAAGAGAGCTGGAAAAAGAAGCAATGAGCGCAAAAAGAAAGACATGCCATTTCGCTCGGCTCCCAGCAGGAAAATTCACTTTTCACAACCAAAATAAAATTGATACAATTAGGGTTGACTTAAGTCAGTGAATCGACTCAAGTCTAACTCAAAAATTCTGGCAACTTATGAACAAGTCCAAATGGGTGAATAATTCAGCAAGCAAATGACTTGACTCAAGTCATTCACAAAATCCAATTACTTACTGCCTTACTACTTCATGTTACACATGCATTTAAACTTTGCTACCAACGCAGGGTGAAAATATCAATACAAATGAATAATTAATGAATCACAACCCCATCTCTGTTTGTCTTGTGCTTAGGTGCTCACAGGCTTTTTGTATTTGATTTGAACTGACTAATACATACACGTGCATCGCAACTTTACTCAACTCGTAAAACTCCAAATTGATTTGACCATGTTGACTTGATTTTACTTGTGTCAATCCATTAAAATGACTCGACTCAACTTGAGTCAACTGAATTCAGAGACTTGTTACAACACCACTACATGGCCCAGTTTCACAAAGCTGCAAAGGAGAAGTTACTGCTTTGCAAATTTATGTGCTCAGCAAAAATCAGCTGAGAACCAGTTACACCCAGGCCAAGTATACAAACATTACAATGCATGCCATTTTGGCTGGTACCTGCTGAAGCAGCTCATTTTGGCTTAGCAACTTTCTGCTTTCAGACATGTTATGACAATGGCCATTGCCGCTCTTCTGAGTAGTCAACACAGCGCCCTCTACCGTTCAGGCACACAGCCTATAGACTGACCTTATGCTCTCTTTGATGGAGTTGCTCTTGTAGTTCTTGAGATCCGTGTCCAGCTTTTCTAGTTTCAGAGCCGCTTTCTTGTTGGTGGTTTCAACCCACTGGGTATCAAACGGCGGCACATTGTGGACGACCCCAGCCACTGCGTCAGGCAGGATTGAAGTGCTTGAACTGGACAAGTTCAATGCCTGAACATTAATTTCTCTTGTAAAATTTCTAGTTCAAATACATGTACAAGTTTGTGGTAAGAATTCTCTGTACAAATGTTGCTCAAGTGAATCTCATGGGTCAGTATAGGTAGCTCCTGTGGTCATTTGACAAGCAGCCCATATATCTCATTATTCTCAGGAGTTTTGTTTATTCTGCCAAAAATAAAATACCATCTGCAAGCGATTAGCTGTAGTAGAAATATCTAAGGATTATCCATAGAGTACTTTGTACAGCGGGAAGAGGCAGGGCTGTTGACAATGCATGACTGTGAAGGAAGCGGTGGTTCAAGGAAAGATAATTTGGGGTTTTGGTTCACTCTATGTGACCCACTCGGCAAAAATGAGTCACATGTCTCCAGAGCCTAACCGTTCTGAACCCAGCAGGTTTATGCATGCTTTCAATGGTCCCTCGGGTGTTAAGGTTAAAGGCCTTTGAAAGAAGCTTGCACAGTGTCTAGGAATTCTCAACATTTTAACACTGACACAACGTCCATTTTCATCACACCAAACACATCAAAACAAATAGCTTAAATTCCTCAATCTAAGACAAAATAAAACTCAAAAAGTGGCTCTAGTGAAAAAGTCAGTATTGGCACTGTAAAACACTTGTTCACTCACAAAAATTCCCTGGTCAACAGAGCAATGAAACTGTCCCTGATCTCCACACCTTCGCGAAAAAAAATTGCTGCATGAAGTTCACACTTACACGGCTTCTGTCAGCTTGCGTTGGATATTCTGATACATGGATGTGTTGTAGGTGGACTGGGTGTAGCTAAGAGCTATCCTAAAAGCTTCAATCTTCAGCGAGGGGCAGTGGGCAGCCACAAACAGCAGCCGATTGATCTTGGCCAGGCCTGTGTAGCTGGACGCATACCCATCCAAATCCTGTGAAGGAGTCAATCAGATAAGTGATTCTCCTCGCTAGTTAGATGCTGCCAGGCTTTTTGGCAATAAAAGGCAAAACACTGATAAAATAATTTTGCCCTGGGAGCCGTGCATACATGTACATGCACCTGGGGTATTATAAAAGAAACCACGGTTCAGCTGATTGTGTAGTCTCTTTCTGCAGATTTCATTCACTACCTATTTAAACGAATGATGCCTTGACATTTCAACTGTGTCTAGCCTTTTTATTGTCATGCCTTTGAACTATGGTGGTAATTTTTTATTTGACCCTAACATGCAAGAATCCTAAAAAAAATGGAGGATTCACAGCTGCAATCCTCACTTTCTGTAATTGTTAGAGATGTCACTTTTCAATTCCAATGTACAATGTACTTACTAATGTTGGGTTGTCCACCATGTAGGTCAACTCTTCTGGACTATCGCTACCTTCTGGTTGCATGTCCACCTGCATGGCCTCCACTGGACCCTGCAAAAGTGACCATGCCATAACGTCTCTCACCCTCGTACAATATCCTGATCCCAGGTTACCATGATTAGTGCGATGGCATCCCACTCAAATATCTTGTGTGAACTGGAGATTTTACCGTTTTTTTTTTCTTTTTGGGCTTGATGTGTGGTAAAATTAATATCTAAGTTTCACTCCACCAATTTTCTGCATTCTGGGGATAGTCCCAGTTACTTCACCAAATAATGACAATAAAGACAAATTTTGAGGAAGGGAGTTCTAGTGCTGCCGCCTGGGCCCAAATGGGGTCTAGGAGCAGAAGACTGGTGTAGGCCTACTGTGTAACTTACAAGTAGGTTGCTTTCGAGTCAACTCGTACCTTGTACATGTATGCCTTGTACCTTGGACGACTCGTACCTTGGACAACTCATATCACGGACAACTCGTACATGTACCTTGGACAACTCATACCTCAAGTAAAGACCACTCGTACCTTCATGTTCACAATTCAGTTTCAGCATGTTCAAGGATCAGATTTGACAAACTTATCAAGGAAATATCTTCATGAATCTCCCAAAGAGATCTTAAGTGCCAGCATGACTGTGCTTAGTAACTTCTTTTTTTGGGGGGGGGGTTGTTCTTAATAAAACTTTTTATGTTTTTATTTCTTATGCAAATGTTTCTGGACTCGTTTTCAAAAATCTTTTTTTGGGGGGGTGGTTGCATTCCTTATTTAAATTCTGTTTTAGACAAGTTACAACTGACATTACTTTTAATATAAACTTTGAAGTGAATGAAAACATGACATAACTCCATCGTCACAGTGGACTGCAAAAAATAATTCACATAAGAATAAATCAAACTGCTCTAAATTGATCAACAACATAAGTGATGATGCAAAAATTGGGTCCAAAATATTTTACAATGCCGATACAGAATTTCGAAAAAATTAGACACACTGCCGTTCAGCGCAATAGTAAAGATTTCGAATTGCATTCAATGACAGCCGGCCACATTGACCAGCGCTAGTTGCCTGACCACTCACATGCACGACACTGACGCGTCTCACATTAACGGGATAGCAATAGGGATGGCAGAGTAGCAAAACTGGCAACGAACAAGTGGCTAGGAAACCACATTATTGCTCAAGTTGATTGGAATAATAATAAGCTCTGACTCTGAGACTGAGCAAGTTCCGATTTCTGTGAAGGTATGAGTTGTCTCAGTCATATACGAACGGACGAGTTGTCTGTACTGGAGGTACAATGTATGAGTTGTCCAAGGTGCAACTCAGCAAAGATACAAGTTGGTATAATTTAGTTGAGTTGATGTACGAATTGTCCAAGGTTTGAGTTGTCCAAGGTACAAGTTGACCAGTTTCCTGTTAGTTAACGTGATAGTGATTTGTGCTTTACATGTTGTTCATGTTGTTGAAATATTGGGCATGATTGAGTAATATCAATGAATTACATGTAGCCCCAGACTGGAGGGCCAGTCTACTGGACTACCTCCATATCCTTGACCAATGCCAACACAGTCGGGATCTGTTTGGTCTGGGAACCAGACTGCATTAAAGACGGTGATCCCAACTGCTGTTTAATCAGTGACTATGTATCACTGCTTTTAATAAAAGCCTTATGTATGCATGATCCCAATGAATATGTCAAAAAACAGCAGCTGTCATATTTTCATGGTGACACATCATGTGCAAGACCGGGATTGGACTACTGGTTGGACGAGTGAATGGTGTGTGCGCAAAGAGTTATATATAACTCTATATCTGTGTACACACCACGTGCCGCACTCTGGCAACCAGTTCACACTCAATCCCAAGTATCGTATGTCTTTCGTTTCGCATTCATCAACATTCTCTGGCAATTTCATGCTCTGGGGACCTATGTAATAACACTGTCTGGCTCCTAGGCCAAACAGATCCTGACTGTGTTTGGCATCGGTCAAATGATCGGGAGTTAATCGCTGTTGTAAACGATTGGCTGATGTGAAGATGACCAAATCAAAACCAAAATTTCACGGACTTCTACAAACTGGAAATCGCCCATATTATTACATCAATGGCCAGATGAGGTGAATGAGCCATTCATGCTAAATAGGATTCATAGATGGCATTGTCACGGAGTCTCCACTTTTTGGATGGACTGTTGTGGGGTCCAAGGATATGGGGCCTACGGAGTAGACTGGCTCCCAGTCCGGGGCTATCATTTATCAATGGACTGTGCTGTATCCATCACTACATGTGTGCCATCCATCAATCCTGGCTGAACACGAACATGACAAACAGGCGACCAACTGATGATGACTCGATACTACAGACATGACAGATGCAGATTGCCAGCAGATTTCGTGAAATAGGGGTGCAGACCACTAATTCAAGTGAGAATTTCTGGCCAGCTCATTAGCATTAAAAGTGCCCCCCCACAGTATCTTTTGAAAAAGGAGATTGTTTGGCTCCCAAAATGGTGAGATTGTGTAAATCGTTGCCAGGATCAACTCTCTGGGTCTTTGAGCTTTCATATGAGAGCAGAATGGCTAAAAACTACAGTTGAAAAATTGGTCCTAAGTTCCCGGGAAAGTCGAGGGTTGCCATTTGAAAATGGCTGCAATCAGACTTCGGAAAAATCATTTTTTGGGGGGTGATTTTGTTTGGTGGGAATAATTAAAAATGTAGGCCTAAAATTGGTTAACCCACAAAAAATTGAAAAGAAAATGAAAGATTAGTGACCCGACAAGAATTTCATTTGTGTGTCAGAAATCTCAGGGATGTTGGCGTGCATGTTATTGGGCCTTGAACAGTGCTGATTTTACACTGTTTTCAATGGGATTTGAATTAGGAGACTGTACCCATAATGGTCGCGCACGCTCCATGATCAAGGAGCAAACTGACATTGCTTAAAGTTTAGCAAGCTGAATTTGGCAACCTTAATCATTCGCTTACCTGACCAAATATCTGTATGGGAAGTGGCATAACTGTGCAGTGCGGATGCACTCACTCAATCGCTGAAAACTTTCGAAGATCTTCTCGTTCTGAGGAAACAAGAGCTTAGCAAGGTCTTTCCCTCCCGAGATCCCGTATCGTCCGTCTGCTGAGCGAGTGCATGGCCTGGTTCCCGTCACGTTTTATAAAAAGTGGGTATTTAAAGTGTGATGGTGAGATCGGGATCCAGTCTACAAACAATGCATGATGACTCCCTCTATTGTTGAATTAATTTGTAATTATTCTGTTTGTCTATCATAAACCGTAGCTTTTGAACTCAAAACGACAGTACTCTGTACAGTGTTTGAGTTTTTCATGCTCAACTTCACTTGGACTTAGCAAACGGCTACAGCAGTAGCAGATACCCAGCATTTACAGAAAGGGAGGCGGTGGTTTATAGCCGAGGCCATGAGAAAGCTACGTAAGGGAAGGGGCGCGAAGTGAGCACAAAAAAGGCCTATCATGGCCAATTATATTTGTGAGAACTGTTGTTTTTAAGCTATTAAATGACCAGAGCCAGTGAAAGACAAGAGAAGAGGAATGCATTGAAGAAAATGTGTCTGTTTAAAACCAAAATCACTAAAATTAGTGGGAGCTCTGAGTGGGTAATAAAAATAACTGAAGTATAATTTAAACACAAGATAACACCCCGCCGATTATTCTTATGTTTACAGGGTGAGTGTTACAAATCGGAGACTATAGTCCACAAATATGGGAATAAAAAAATCTCCAGCTTGACTCCCTGGAGAAATCCCTTGATCCGCCCCTGTTAAGACAGCTATAGACTTACGGGTACGAATGGTAATTGGTTATTATATAGGCCTAGACCAAACTTTAGATAAAAGTTTTAACATCGCTGAGTTTTTATGGTCGAAGTATATACGAAAAGAAACTAGTAACTTTACACACTACAGCGGTACGCCGCAGCAGTATTGTTATACATGAGGCGGGCCACTGCACATATTTTTTTATATAGCACCTTATACGTTGACAAATGCAAAATGAACAAAACTCAATGCATTTTACAGATTAAAACAGAAGGAAATGTGATTCCATAAAATACTATACAATCAACAAATTATAAATATACAAAACGCATCACAAATTCATAGCTACGTGTACAACAAACCAAGAATTATAAAACATAAGTTACACCCAACACACGCCGAAATTGAACACTCATAGCCTGTCGATAAAAATGTGTCTTCAGGGCTGCATGCCTTAAAGGTGAATTGGTCGCAAACTATTGGAGGCACACTATTGTGAACCATATTGCGAAAATTTTTCCTTTTTTTAGGCATGCAGTTCATGGCATGATAATATCTTGGACGTTGAACATGAAATTAGTGAAATATGCATTCTGTTACGTTATTCTAACGTAGTCAGAGTTCTTTCAAAAAGAGAGTCACGTTTCTGTGAATAATGTGAGGTAGGACTAAACCCTTAGACGTATTCACTGCATGTTCAAGTGAAATAGACACTTTGCCAGGCAAAGCCTCGGTTGAACAAAAAAATCAGTTCCCCAAAATGATAATTTCACGGTGATAGCCTACTTAATATGCCCGAAGGCCCAATTATCACATTCATAAAATAACTCACTTTAAATTTTAAACCCTGTGCAACTATACACTATAAATCAAATTCCTCCGACATTTAAAAATAAGATGCCGTCAAACGGACACATAGGCCTAATTTCTCAAATCTGGTTACATTAAGTCTCAGAAGTTGGCAGGTTCAAGTCCGAACCAGCTTCAAACCCTGCAGTTTCCTTATCAGGTGCATAAGAACGAAGTGGTTTGGTGAGATTTACATTGAACATTGTTACAGAGCGTACCTTGTTTTGTTTGGAGCCACTCTCCCAATTACTCACGTGTCATACTTTCATGATTTTTCTTCCAAGTCTGATCTTGTTGTGACCTTTTTTCAAATTAGGCCATTTTCAATGGGATTTTCTCCGACCTTTCCACGTCGCGCTTTAACAATGACGCATAGCACAACCAGACAGAAGCCACAGGTTTAAAAATAGTTCCGCAGCTGGTTATTTTCTGTCTTGGAAAAATGCCACGGGATGAGGATCTTTAATGCTGGGAAAGGTCTTTCCTGCTAGGGGTAAAACTCAGATCACGAGGGTACAACTCGTGCAGGGACGGGGCTTAATTTAATTCAGTGCTGAAGATCGTAATGATGGTGAGGGGATTCCTCCAAAAGCTAAAGAGAAGAAAAAGAGTTGATCATCTTGTATTTGAAATTCCCCCAAAAAGATCCATTCCGATGGTCTGTGGCTATATCCCAACTGTAGGCAATAGGTTTAGTGGCCTTTCACACGTTTCCTAGAAGAGTTCAGTGATCACCAAATGCACCATGGTTGTACGTCGTGTTCTTTGTCTAACTTTAATTCATGCACTTTTTAGTACCTTCTGGCTGTCGTGACAAATGTTTCCGGCCATCAGAGTCACTGAATCATTGCGGTTATATAGAAAGAACATTCGCGGACTATAAGTACACTTATAATCTTTCATGCAGGCGTGATCTTGGCTGGCATCTCTGTGAGCCATTTTTAAGTGGAATGACGAAATTCCTACGAGCTTTCACGATATTGGAAGCTCGTCCCTTCGGCTGGGGTCATTCTACTAAACACCTTCAAGGTACCGTAATCTTGTACTCTGCTTGTCATGAAGTGTTGCTTGTTGATCAGACTTTGTCTGGGGGTTAACATCAGTTTTGTTAACATTGTCAAAGAGTGGAATAACACTGTGTTTTTGCTTTGCTATGGCGAAACATGCATATCCTCACTTGGTACTGCGTGCAGTGGGGACACTCGTGCTACTGTACTGCCCGGGTAATGTGTCGGCAGCCCACGACAATGAGAATTTCACAGTCTGTCACGCGTCCAGGAAGATCGATCACTTCGAAGTGGTTCACTTGGATTGGCAGGAGGTTCAGGTCCCGTTCGGCATCTGTCTCTGGATCATGGTCGCCAGCCTGGCGACGCTGTGCTTCCATAACACGTTCCTGCCTAAGGTGCTACCTGAGAGCTGTCTACTGCTCATCACCGGCTTCGTGGTTGGCGGTGTAATCAAGATCAACCCAGAGGCGTTCCCGCACAGTCTCTCCTACGGGCTGAACACTGACCTCTTCTTTCTGTTCCTCCTGCCTCCGATCATCCTGGAGGCCAGCTACTTCCTGCCCATGCGGTCGTTCTTCAACAACATCGGCACCATCCTCCTCTACGCCGTCATTGGGACAGTCTTCAATACAGTTGCCATTGGCCTCTCCCTCTACGGCATCTCCCAGCTCGGATGGTACGGGACCGGCCCAAACGGCACCACCATATACTTGTCTGCCCTGGAGTGCCTGACCTTTGGCAGTCTGATTTCTGCTGTTGACCCCGTGGCCGTCCTAGCAGTATTCGAAGAGGTGCAGGTGAATGAGATTCTGTTCATTCTGGTATTTGGTGAGTCTCTGCTCAACGACGCCGTCACTGTTGTTCTTTACCGGATCTTTGAATCCTTTAATGCCATTGGCGCTGACAGAATCCAGGTCATCGATATAGTGAGTGGATTCTTCTCCTTCTTCGTAGTGTCAATTGGTGGACTGGTCGTAGGTCTTTTGTACGGCTTCCTGACCTCCCTTCTGACGCGCCTTACTCACAAAGCCAGGGTTATCGAGCCTATCTTTGTATTTGTCATGGCCTACATGGCATACCTTACAGCAGAAATGTTCCACCTGTCTTCCATCCTTGCAATTGTCTCCTGTGCCATCTTCATGAAGCCATACGTGGAGTCCAACATCTCCCGTAAGTCGCGCACTACCATCAAGTATTCCTTGAAGATGTTAAGCAGCATCAGCGAGACCATCATCTTCATCTTTCTGGGCGTCACCACCCTGGTGGATCTCCACTACCACCAGTGGAACACAGCCTTCGTGATCTACTCACTTGTGTTTTGTCTGTTGTATAGGGTCATGGGAGTGTTTGTACAAACCAGGATAGCAAATTCCTTCCGTCTTGCCAAAATTAGCAGCACGGAGCAGTTTATCATGGCCTATGGGGGGTTGCGAGGCGCCATCGCCTACTCGCTCGTTTCTTTACTATGTAACGAAACGGTCCACAGCAAAAAGATGATGTACACCTCGTGCATCGTAGTTGTCATGTTCACTGTCTTCATCCAGGGTACCACCATCAAGCCCATTGTGGGCCGACTCCGAGTCAAGAAAGCGACCAAAAGTAAGCCTACCATGAATGAAAAGATATTTGAGCGACTCGTTGACCACGTCATGGTGGGAATGGAAGATATCCTTGCCCAACACGGACACCACTCCTTGCGAAACAAATGGGAGAAATTCAACAAAAATTTTGCTAAGCCTCTGTTGATGCAGGGGAAGGTCAGCCAAGGAGACCCCAAGATTCTAGAGGTTTTCAGTAAACTAAATGAGAGAGATGCTATGGAACGTATCAGATCGACCGGATCCTTGTTTCATCGGTCTTCGGTAGGCATGCAGCATCAGTCCTCAGATGGGTTCAGCATCGGCAGTCGAACCCCGTCGGTTATTGGCGGGCTGTCTCTGAACGGCAGGGAACAAGGCATCTACATGCATCCAATGAGTTCCAGTGTCTCTAAGCGATTCAGTCGCGACTCCATCTCCGGTCAGCTCAACCTCCTCGCTGACAACATGTACAAGCCCCAGAGACTGGAACACCACTTTGTCTCGAGTCGCCTGACGGATATCGACGATTATCAAGAGCCACGGAGCTTGATGCGTCGCAGCCTGAACATCCAACTACGACATCGCTGTCGTAGACGGAAACAGAGACGCCGGTTGAGGAGGTCCTCACTAATGGGATCGACCACCTATGACGACATCAGCGGATCTAATGACGAGATTCTTTCCAATCCATCCTCTAAAGAGCACATTCAATCCAGGAACGGCTTAAGGGAGGACGAAGACGAAGAGGGCATCACTTTTGTTGCAACCGCCAGCTCCGACGAACTAGATTCAGTCAAGGAAACAGTTGAGAAGATACCTGTAGCTTCTCAAAAAATCTCTCCCTGGCGTGCGACAGACCGCTCCTTCATTTCGGTTCGAGCAGAGATGCATCCACTCAAGCATTTCGAGGACACCTCTGCGCAAACTCCAAACAGAATGTCACGAGTGAAGCCAAAACGTTCTTCTGTAGAGAGAAAAAATGACGATTCCGTGCCCTTGACCTCTGCTATGGAGCTTCCGTGAACAGCTATGATTGTCATTACAGAACTGTTTCATTCCATCAAATTAAAGTAAAAAGACCACTGGATGGCGCTGAAACATGAAGACACCTGTAAAACGCAATACTTCCCTAACAAATAATAGACAGTCATCAAGTGATTTTCGTACGCACCCTCGGATGTTGTAAGGTTATATGTGTAAAAGGCCAGTTCATACTTCACGCGAAAGCAAACACAAATGCAAATTTGTGACGTCAAATCAAATATTTGCTCTGCGAATTCACAAAAGTTCAACATAGGCCTTTTTCAACTCAAGCAAAATTTCGCTGTAATTCATTTGTGACGTTAAATTCGCCCCGCGTTCACATTCGCCTGTTGTATGAACCGGCCTTAATTTTTTTTTTTCAAAAAAGACTCATCAGGAGAAGATGCAGGTGTATTGTACAGTATAACCTCTCCTGAGATTCATGTTATCGCAGCCATATTCACCTTATCATTGTTTATTGTCTTTGATCAGTAGTTGTTGATTATGTGTCATTGAATTATTTTCGTCCCAACGTTAACGCATGGCATGGCACGATTGAAAAAAAATTCCATGCGGAATGTAGTTAGATGTCTCGGAGTTGTATTTGCACGAATACATCATGGAGGGAAAAACACTATATTGTGATGCAAAAACGCGGCTCCATGCAGATATACTAATTGGCAGATGGTAAATGCAGAGCACAGTTTCCTTTTTCATTAAGCTGATGAAGACACTTTCAAACTCGAGGGATTTATTCAGAAAAGGGTAGTTTTTCATGATTTGTTTAATTCACATTCGTGCAGAGTAAAGAAGAAATTCGTTCAACGCTCCATATTACACTCGCTCTGCTTTGCCTCGTGGAATAGTACAGTACATTCCATCTGTAGTCTCGTAACATAATTCTTTCTTATAATCGTGGATTATGATTATTTGCACAATAATCATAATATAACAACCGAGCAACATTGTTCAAAGTTGCCCACAACACTGGCAGTGTTCTGATTTTTTTCAAAAAGTTAAGTGGATCAAGTGAATGTGGCTTTGTTATATTGCCCCAAAATCCTATAGCGTTTTGGAAGAGCCATTCTACATCGCTTTTTGATTTGGCTTTCGTCATGCTGTAGTCTGATGCATGTGGGTCATTTTTAATAACCCAGTAAGGACAGTTATCAATCCTGACGCATCTAGCGTGGTGAGAGGGCACGCTGCCCAAGGCAAAATGTTGCAATTTCTAACAATTACCTTTGTGGATTTTACACAGAATGAACGTTAATTTCCTTGGATGTTGCTTGTGTACAAGTTATGTGCGTCTGGCCATTCAGAAGCAAGCCCCTTTCAAGTATAGACCTAGGATTTTCCTTGCTGGACAGAAGCAAAACGCCAGACTATAATAACAACATTATTTGAGCGTTATTCCTCTAACTTTTCACCACTACAGCATTGTGGTGCAAACTTGAACTAATAAAATGGTGGAGTTCTGGGTTAGTTATTTCTCGACAAAATTCTTTCTGACTGTCGTTAACATACATCGGACGTCTTTGCCAGCAGATTTGACCTTAGCTTAGGCGGTACGCCCTGATCTCCTGAAAGTAAAGCTTTAAAATGCAATTTAAACAAACGTCGAACAAAAACCAATGTAGTGCAAAATCTGAGGGCGTTGTGCATGTGCTAAAGAGTGTCCATGTTAAGTCATAACTACATGAACGAGTCAAAATTTTAATTGCATGAATGCTAATTTTCATAAAAATTGATTCGTCGTAAAAATGTAACTGAATATTTCTACGTCAGTATTTTGGGTTATTTCAATAATGCCAATGTAAATGTATGTTCCAAGAGAGTAAGGGAAACTGATTAAAATTGACCTATCACAGAAAAATGGCACTCAAGGCACCTAGTGAAAATTATTGTCCAATTACACTACGTATGAATTGGACTCAGGATCTGCAAAATCTAAGACAGCATTTAACTTACAAAATAGGGATGTCAAAGGGGAGTGGCTAACCGCTAACACCGAGTTGGTCAAGTACGTAAACTAACTAGTAAAGGTTTATTTAAATCACATGTATACATCATAAAGATACTCAGAAAGGTTAAGATTCATAAAAACACACAGAACAATGTTAAATTTTATTTAGGATTATTATAATAGCTTTTAAAATTGGCATGATGACATATAGAATGGATATTTTCCGGTTGGAAGGACAAAACTTAATAAAACGTAAGATTGGTGATTATCATAAATGCTTTATATCACTTTTGTAAGACTAAGAACATGGACACTATACTGAGATGCGGTGATGCATGGCACGCCATGACTCTGCACTTTTATTGTGATGCCTCAGTGCCACAGCGATCCCAGGCCAGATCTACGAAATCTATATCTCAGTATATTGTTATATCGAATTGCTCCCTATAGGCTACGCTGTTCTGGTGGCAAAACGCAAACCACTGAGTTTTGCCTTACAGCCCCACTTTGGCAACTTCTAGTGACACAGGGCCGGGCTTAGCAAAACGTGAGCGAACAAAAACTTTTAAATTTAAGTTTTCTAAATAGTTTGGAACTCATACCCCGGCGCATTTGACTCGAATGATTTTTGCGGTGCTCTTAGTGCAATATGCCCACGGATATTTACTACAAACGAAGATGGAATTGGTACGTTTTAGTTTGTTTTGTCATCCTACTACAAAAAGACTGTGATATCTGTTCACTGCAGGACCATTTTTGGGAGCGCAGCAGCCCCGAAATATGATTGCTGCTTTAAAAAGGTTTCAAAAATGACGGGGGCCCAAAACCACAAATACCGGCTGTGCCACTGTCGTGTTCGATGTTCCAAGGTGCACTAAAACGAAAAGCACGATAATAGTGGCCATGCGTATAATCAGCACCACATCACACCAGCACGGAGGACATAAATTGCGCCCTCTATTGCAAAAACTTGCACCGGCTTTCTTCGTCTGCTTCCTAGGCTTCTCCATATGACATTGAATACATTCGAACACGTGTCTGACGTGTGCTGGCTATAGATCTTATTGCAACCACTGATCTCTATAATGTATGCAACAAATGCAAAGCGCGCGACTTTCTTGATCTTTGGCGTTTTGTATTACTAAAGGTTCAGTGCTTTTTTAAGACTTCCTACTTTGGAAGTATGGCAATACCCAATAAACTTCTGACCTTAGTGTTTATACGAGAGGACAATAGAATTCTCCTGGGTATGAAGAAACGAGGGTTTGGTGCCAATTGGTGGAATGGGTTCGGCGGGAAGGTGGAAGCTGGTGAAACCATTGCACAGGGCGCCAAAAGGTAGAGCTTGATTAGCCCCACTAGTGTAGCACGGACTCTCACACCCGCTCGCTCTCTCAGTCGCCATCTTTAAAATAAGGTCCTTGAAAATTACGTCCCTTGACCCCTCATCCTCTCGGCGGCTGTTCCAGTCAAGCCATCTGAACTGCTGCCAAAGTTTTGGAAGAGCTCATCGGTACATGTAGTATCTTATCGCTCAGTCCGTGTATTACATATGTCTTGACATGATATGACTGAGAGAGCTAGCCTGTTAGATTGAATGGATAAAGGCAAAAAGACTGGCAAATACCTGAATAACGTGAGTGAAATAATTCAATAAATGGTTTTTGGAAGTGGAAAGGTCAAGGATCATGTCCATGTGCAAATGAAATTGCGCCCACAATGATAAGTGGGTCCGCCGAAAATGTTCAATACGCCGACACGAAATGGCGTATACGGATGTGTGGCTAAGGAGTGAGAGTCCGTGCCACACTAGTGGGGCTAGAGCTTGATAAAAGTTGAAAGATAGGCCTACATCATGAAACTGACTCTGCAAACACCATGGCCAAGGGTGATATGCAAGATCTCTTAATATAATGTGGGCCTGTGTTGTATCTCCTTTTCCTCGCATATACAGGGAAATGGAAGAGGAGTGTGGTCTCATACTGAAGCAGTTTGAGGAAGTGGGAAGACTAGACTTTGAGTTTGTGGGTGAACCACAGATCCTGGAGGTGCACATCTTCTTGGGGGACAAATATGAAGGACAACTCCAAGAAACTGAAGGTAAAGGCCTGCAGTAGTTTCAGAATAGAACCAATGAATATTGTAGTGGAGTACTTAGCGAGACGCATACTTCATTCCAGCCTGATTTATCACAAAGTAGGCCTAGGCCTATGTGTATTTCTAACAGCGTGTAGTCATTAACTAAAGATTCTTATTGCTTTAATTCATTTGAAAAGCTTGACACTGAAATTGAGACTGGGAAGTTGAAATGCACTTGTTAAGAATTGTGAAAGTAACGATGGGTACTTGAGAAGGTTTTCTGGAGGATTCGATAACAGCACTGGAGAAGATTCCAGCACGTTGCCGTGGTACGATACTCCTGAAGTCACAACAAAGTATTATCTGTGTAGCTTATGAACTTCTGGTCTGGCAGCTGTTGCATCTGTTTGCATGTATTAACATTTGTTGCATTCATTTACGTAGTTTTACATGCGCTGATTTTTGGCCTAAATTTTTGCAAGTTTCCTCCAAGTATTTCTGCAGTGAGTCTTGTGTCTCAGGAACTGTGCATACATTTACATGTACAAGTGTTAAAATCACTTTCTCATTACTAGTGAGTAATGAGTTTGCTTGGTATTTCAAAGAAGTAAAGTCATTCCAGAACAAAGCACTTGATGTTTGCCCATTTTGATCATGTTCGGTGTGCACGAGTCGACGTTCAGTCTTGGCATCTTCACGCATGTTTTGATTTTCAAGAGTCGCCTATGGCATGCTTCAGTCTGAGCGTGTGCTGTTTGAATACTGAACTCACTTGTTGCCAGCTTCACAACTATGGGAATTCAGATTTTACACGCTAACTTCATGAAAGCATTTTGCACCTCTTCTGATCCGTACCACCGAAATTGCAATGACCTTTCCTGTTTCTGCAGAAATGAGACCCAAATGGTTTGCTCTGGATGCCATTCCGTTCAACAACATGTGGCCTGACGATCCACTGTGGTTTCCCCTCCTACTCCGGGGGTCAAAGTTCAGAGGTTACTTCAAGTTTGAGGGTCATAACAAAATCTTGGAGCATCATTTAGAAGAAATAGAGACTAAGTGAACTCCTGTATAGACACAGGTAGTATAAGCGAACGAGAATCAATTTCCTGTCCAAGGAGAGACTTCATCACTCATGGAAAAGAGAAAAGATCTTCAGTTCTATTTTTAACAGTAACCATGCTACTCTATTTTTGTTACATGTTCATCTGTCTTCTGAAGATGAAGACAGCAGAGTTAGGAGGTAGGAAGTCTGTGTGGATGTCTGCGGAAGCAGGTGGTGTAATTTAACATGTACACAAATGTATTCATTTTTAAAACCATGTTTGTGGTTATTGAACTTTATTGCAGATGGGAAGGTTTTGTATTTGTTCCTTGTGGAGGGTGTAGTTTCAACAGGAATCTAAATTCTGACGTCATTGGATCAGTTAACCTACATTTACAGTCATGTTTGATCAGTGCGGTGCTGAATTTTGTGATTGAGTCTATTGCATTGAAGAGAGTGACTCTCAAGTTGAGTCAAGTCATCAGATCAAGATCATTGAGTTGAGTCTGAGTCACCAAAAATGTGTCTTAGATTGGACTCAAGTGGAGCCACTGACCCATCAAAAAAACTCTGGATCAGTGACCATGCGTTGACCACTGGCCAATCTTTCCTTGGCAACCTATGCACAAATTATATCCTGGTGCCCAGAAAAAATCATACAAGTGATGGACTGATGGTTGCTGATGAACTTTGGCCCATGCTGTGGATTCGGAGACAGATCCGTACTCCACCATGTAGACTGAAATAAAGCATTAAATTTTAAGAATTTAGCCTGGCTGTAAGGCAGTGTTGTGTGGATATGTGTTTTTTTAATGGTTAACTTAAAGAATCTTAGAATGATCTATTTCCGTGGGGAAGATGGACTAGGTGCTGATAATATGTTTTAAATAAAAATATTTGCAAAAGGCTTTTTCAGAATGTCTGTTGATTCTTGAAACCTTTTTGTGAACACACACATGCATGTACATTCCTACTCATTCAAATTAATGAACTGAATCAGGAAAGTCTTGATACCGGCATTTTGCAACGCTTTCTATGTAGGTTGATTGGGCGACTTGAAAAAGGACCAGACTACAGCTGTGATGTGGGTCGTGTCCAGCTGTCCAGCAAGTTATAGTGACAAAGTGGAAAGAATCTTTGATTTTGCTATGGTCCGTGTACAATGCTGGATCCTGACTCATTTTTTTTTAATGGTGGTGGTGGGGGGCTAAACAAGTAAGCAGCGTTCCAGGTGTACTTTTGCATTAACTGGTCACACCAGTCGTAATTAAGCACCTGCTCAGAAACAATTTCCTGAACAACATCGCTCTGTCCATACAAAACAACCTTCATTTAAGACAATATCTTCACACTGATTGACTTTAAAACGCTCGTTTTGGGGGGACCCCCGATCCGCCCTTGTCAATGTAAGATAACAAAAACAGATCATCTTCCAAATTTATGTGGCCGGAATGAGGTCTTGATGATGATCGTTCTATTGTCTGTGTTGGAATTGCAGGTGGAATAGTTAGCCTTCTTTCTATAATTTAAATAAAATTATACAGCCATGAATATCTATATCTTCCTTTGTTCTCGTAAGTTTGAGTTTTTTGGGGGATGTTATAGTTCAGAGACATTCGTTAAAATTCTTAATTTCTTAAAATTCAAAAATTTGCAGCTGTTGATTTCTGTTCAAGATTGTTTTCAACAATATTTAGATTTACTAACAATTAGGCTTTCAGAAATTCATCTGATTGTCTGGCGTGCCTCAAATTCCTGAGGGACAATACACTTTAAATCAAAATGTGATTTAATTACAAAATTTGCGTCCTGATACACGTAGATATAAAACCCTGGCAATTTAAAAACAAACGTGTTATGTCCTTTGCTGTGAATATGGTTTTTATATTGGAAATGGAAGTCCTGGTTTGTAAAAAAAAAAAGAACTTTCTCCCGAAAATCGCCACTGACTTGTGAAGTCTGTACTTTTTTGTGATAATTAAAGGGAACGTCGCATTTTAGTCAGACAATGACTTTGAAAAATGTTGCGGGGTTCCGTTAATTTACATTGTGCGTGATTTTTTTTTTCAATTTATAAGTGGCTCTGACCGCAGTGCACTAGTCATTTTGTTAATGTCTGGTCACGCAATCAAATTGGCCAACACTCGGCCATTTAGATATTCCCCGCCCATCATCATCTAGACCACACTTGCTCCATTGGAAGACCGTAGCCGGTTGTTCTGATGACCCTGATATCTGCAACAGGTATTTAGTGCTACCTCCACATCTTGAAATGACTGGGGCACTTTCCAGTGTGAACTTCTGGTGTGCGAGGAATGTCTTGCACCATTCCCACAGCTTTCCGAAAGTCTAGCTTTTAAGCTGAGCTTGACATCTGCCAACACTTATCCGGTCGGGTTTTTCAACACCTGAGCTGACCGACAGTCGCTCGGACACTAAACTGACGCACCAAACGTAGCGATAAACGTTCCTTGTAGTGTAGAATCAATCCCATGGGGCATACACGTTCTAAAAAATTCATTAGATAATTTCTAACTCTATCATTGGCCCTGCATTCCTGTTGTAGACGATTTGTCCTTGGTCACCAGTCATCAAAAGGGTCACTTTATGGTCAATATTTACGGTTTTCGATTTTTTGTTGGGATATACGGTCCCATAGTGACTTTACTGTGCGAGTGTTAACGCGACGTCGTTACCAAGGAGGTTGACGGGTGTGGCCAAGCTCAACATTCGAGAATAGAGACTCAAGATAGAATCACCGTGGGTCTGAGCGACTTAAAGCAGGTTTTCATTTGTAACGAACGCCGACGGCACACAAAACGTCAAGACGTAGACAGTCACGAAATAGAAGATGCGTGACGTCGTTCCACCACAAAAATTTAACAAAATGGCGTCCAAAACATTACCCCTGTCTATTTGGGCCAATGAAACATTCTAAATACTATTTGTAATTGTATGAAATTGGTTTTGGCTTGAGCTTCATTTTGGCGGCAACTATCATTTTACATCACGTCATTTGAATAAGCATTGCTCATTTAAACAGAAAGGAATGAACTCAACTGGTGCCAAAATGAAGTACATGTATTAGGCCTATACCACATTTACTTGCCTTAAATATTGTTGCTTCGCAAAGTGACAATCTTTGAACCTGTTGCCCTTTTGTGGGACACCCTGTATGTTGGTACAGTGCTCCCGCCATAATGTTCACTCTACTGATCAAAATACTGAAAAAAAAATCCTTTCCGCCCAGTGATGAACAGCGTTCTCAATAGTCAAAAAATATTATTTACATATATATATATACCGCCCTCCGTTAAGCAATATATTTTTTGAAATTACAGGCACCCTAGATAAAGCCAAACAAATCACAACCCTTTTTCAAATGCGCCCTTTGCTGAGCTTATTAAGTCTGGGCGGTCCCCGTCCTTATTATATAGGGACCGGTAGCTAGCTTCGGTGTGCCTTAAGCCCTGTCAATTTGGATACTGAACATCTAAGCTTTTGTCAGGTCAGTAGCAGTGCGTTAACATGAATTGCGTTTCAGCGATGAAGCAAATAAAACACAAGTACTACCCTTGGCCTCTGCTGGTCATGTGTTGAAATTTATTTTTCTGTGATTATCATTAATAAATCATTTACGGCAATTTATTTCAAATCAGTTTTTGTGGTTACTATGTTAAATTTTAGATAAATAAACAATTTATGGTGAGGTTATTTCGGTAACAAAGAAGAAATAGCAAAATATTCGATCAGCTCCTGCTTGATTTGTGCATTGAGTGGGCATCTGCCGGATTCATTACCCGCTACCGGTCCTATACGTTCAGAGGACGTCTGTAAGACGTCTGGAGACTGCGCACGGGGCGGGAACCAGTCTAATTAAGCCATGCATATGGGAAAAACATTGGAACTTACAGTGCCCTCCAATGACTTCAGTTTGACCACAAAGTACCTCTTCCTGTGCAGATTCCAAAAATAATGGTCTCCTATACGCGAATGTGGTTCAAGTTACCAATCAAGGTTTAAACTTCACAAAAGTATCTAGCCCCATCCCACACAAAATTTTTGTTTTGGAACAAACCGTAATGCAGTGTATTATAAATTAACTTGCACCTTTTACTTTAAGTTCCCTCCTCCCTTAAAAGAACGCAAGGGTTCCGCCCCTCTTTCTCTTCCCTGAGACCTTCTGTGCCTTCCCATCTTTGGCTGGAATTTAAGTCTTGTTTTGCCTTTACGGGAACTTCTTTCATTACAATGACACAAACTCGTGACGGTTAAAGGCCTTGCGATGGAAGCTTTATTCGAACGGAGTGCTGCTGATAGAACTGTGTCAACTATTAACATCATGGAAGTTCGTATATGACTGCTCTAAATGGTGGTTTAGGGCCTTTCAACGTAAATGTGGGTGTTAACATAATGGGGGTATTGAACACAGGCAACGATGCAACTCAGAGGCATGGGGAATTTTACATAAAGTAAGTTTAATTCAAAATTGACTTTATCCGCTTTTTGAATTCAGAGGAAAGTTCAGCGAATGAGAATAATTGCTGTTGATCCAAAATTCGGAAACTTGGCGTCATCAGAGCTTTAAAAATAAATACAAACAGCTTAGTCAATAATCCATCAATTCTCAGATCGGTTAAACTGAAGTTGCCTCTGAGAAAAAGGGGGGTGGCAGTGAACGCGATGGATTCATAATGATGGATATCACAACCCTGCCTCTCCGCTTACATGACCCTCGATTCACGTGTTCACACGACAGCGGTCATTTTCATGCAACATACGGTAATGGCGTTGAGGAAACCGATGTATTAACAGGGGCATTAATGTCATGTATCAGTGACTAATGGTTGTTGCCGTGATCTGACTGTCGTAATCGGAGGTAAAGTTGGCAACGAGATCACTAAAGTCTGGTGTCTCGTGTTCTGTTATCATGGTAACATGGGGGCCATAACCGACGTTACCAGCCCCACCCGTTCGGGACTGGTCACGGGCACCGGGCTCCATGAAGAAGCTACTGGGTAGGGCTCGTTTCCTCCACGGTAAGGTTTGAAGACATTTCTGAGAGGAGCCTTGACGCTGCCATTGGCCGCCGTGACGGTCGTTGTTCACGCTGTCCACACAGCCTCCTATAGCGAAGTCAAACAGCTCCTTCAGGGGCCCCAGCCCCTTTTTGCAGGAATAGTTCGCGTTGGTAACATCGGCGTTTTCGGTAGATGCCGATGATGTAGATGTACGGGGCGATACGGAAGAATCAGTTCTCCGGCTGCGCCCGGTGGTGTAGGGCTCTGCCGCGTCGCCATTCTGCGCCACCCTCAGTAAATCCGCGTAGTACAACTCCCTGCCTGATTTCCCCGAGGCGAAGCGATCCTCGTATAACGTGCCCACCGACTCGGGTTCGTGTGCACTTTTCTTTCGGCCAAAGTACTTCTGGATGTCTCGATTGACGGCCTCGGCGAACTCCAAAAGCTGCTCGGCAACGTTTGGCTCGGGCTCAGCCAGATCCTCACTGGCAATTTCCGAGTCCATGTCCGCTGAGGTGTACATGGACTCGTTCTCACTTTCCTCGTCAATATCTTCATCTTCAATGTCCTCCTCTTCCTCATCCTGCTGTTGCCGGTGACCCATCATCACGTGATCTTGGTAGTTCCTCGGTTGGGCGTAGTAATCGTACCCACCCATCGGATGGTGGGGGTGTAGCGGGAAGTTGTGGCCGAAACTGGCTGCCGACATGCCCTGGCCAAATCCCACTGCCATTTCGGTGGCCATCATGTCGCCGAAATATATTGGGAGAATCTCTTCGGTTTATCTTAATACAAGAGCCGACTGCTATAGCACTGAGGACCTCCACGTCTAAGGTGTCCAAAGGTTGACGAAGAATTAAATATGGTAATCTGCAAGATGCAAAAAAGGGGGAAAGAAATATATGAGAAAATACACGTACTTGTTCTTCACTCTGCAAGGTTCAACGCGGTCATTCTACGCGTTATGGCAAGCAGTCTCCTAAGCTTAGTGACTGCACGCTGAGGACATATTACGCACTCGTAAACAACGCAAACGTGTTTCACGTGCGCTCGTATCAGGTCACCATTCCAATCACAGACCAATCCAAGTATCACTGACAGCACCACAAGTCTGGAAGGAAAACAAGGCGCAACAAATACCCCAAGTCGAAAACCTGAATTAATTCTCCATCAGTTTCAGCTGTTTGGGGATTCTGTCATTGAAATGCGTAATGGCGCGCGTCTCGTTTTGTTCGAAATCACATAGATTTTTGTGTGTGTAGGCCATCTATGCCGTGGCCCTGAAGTATGAAACGGCCATGCATCAAAGCATGCTCAGATTACTGACGCGACAATCCAAGTAGGAATTTGATATATATACACACACCAACGCAGGAAGACATCCTCTAAACGTGAACGACTCATCGAGTGTAGGGTTTACCTTCCTACAGAATAAAGACGGGCACAGGCTACTGTTTGATGAGGGTAATGATGCGATCATGGCGGACGGTTCCACCAGACTTCAGCTGACGCGAGTCATTTGCCCTGACGACACTGCCCAAGCTGAGCTACCGGGCCTGAACTTTGGACAGGAAAATGGGAAATGTCAACTCGCCCGGTCTACATTATTTCGAGCAGAATTCAGTTTTTTGTGAGGTTACAGGAGAAAAGGCTACGTGTGTTTTAATTGTCCTAAATGGAAAGTACTGTCGATTACGTGCTGGATGTTTTTCTTTGTAAACCATTGGCAAGTCTTCACAGTTTTGTTTGTTCTAAAATTTCTGCAATCTAAACTCAATAATGAGTAAACACGAGATGAAGGTTGTCTTATTATTTAGGAACAATTTGATCACTGCCAATAAATACCTATGGTGTCATAAAGAATGACAAGTGTCGATCAAAAAAGGGAAAAATAGAAGTTCAAAATGTAAAATCAACTGAGGTGTCTGAAACTGTCGAATTTAACCATATTGGTGCTCTTTAACTTAAACAAAATCTCCACAAGTCAATTTCGTGTTTATTTGATGAAGAAAATTCCACTTTTATTGCTATATATTCCAAGTTTATCATTCACTGTTAACAGCAGAATCAGTCATGACAGAGCCGTGTATTTCATATCCGTTCGTTAAGTCTCTGCACAACAGTCCCCTGATAATGTTTCACGGGTGTGAAGCATGATGATGAGCTATATATGCAGGCCGAGGCGTTGATGTGGCAGCGCCGTTACATTCCCGGCTTCCATGTGTGTCTGTGTGTAATAGCCCTTTCTCCGGCCCACTATACTCTCTTCGGGCGCAATTGAACTTGGCAGCCTGTCAACGACCCGCCTGGCTGGTTGCTGTCCACCGTGCAGACCGAGGCGGGCAAAATATTAATGGAAACAGCATCAACCCCCATCCAGCGCCGGCCAGTGTGGAGAACTGTGCAAACACCATCTGCAAACGAATTAACGTCAAGCCACGGCCATATATCACTCCGGTTTTAGTCAAAAGGACAAGTAGTTATTAATGCTTACCCCAAGCCCCCCCCCCCAAAAAAAACCTGTGTGGGGATTATTATTGTTGTTATCGAAGGGAGCGTCAATAGCCCCCTAAACTGAAGAGCCGTCGATGGTTTCAGGCCAACAGGCCTATTTAGGAGTCTGCTGCTTCATTCTCAAGCCGTGAGGATCGGGGGGAAAATATCTCAACCAAGAAGCTAATTACCGTTAGCCACCAGCTTTTTTTGTATTGATGGAGTCAAGTATCAGAAAAGATCATAACACCTTGGCACTTAGTCGCCGGACCCCGCTCTTTTCATTCGACTGGAGAGAGTTTGTATAGTCGACTCGTGCTCGAGCAATATACACTCACGCGCATGAGCATTAAAGATAGCCAGACGAAGTCTACCGACTATGATCTGGAGTAGCCAGGATGTGTCTCTACTGCAATTTAAAATAATGGACTGCACTTTTTCTCTAGGTGTTTGTGGCCTCGTGTCCCAACCTGACAGTTACTGTAACCCAACGACTATTGACTGCACCCCTTTGTTCATCGACCAGCAATCGTCAATATCAAAACGTACGATAGCAGTCCATTAGCAATGTCTCGCCACTCAGCATTTTAACCGTTACATGACATTTGATGTCAAACTTGTACTTTCGCTTGAAAAGAAATCCCCGCCCTGGCGGAAACACTGCTTATAGTGACAGACATGAAGCACGTGAACTCATGAAGTATCCACTGCACATGCGCATAAACTTTGTACATGTACAGAGACGAATTAAGACGCCTTTCCATGTGAATCTCTTTTGGATGCGTTTCGTACACGATGCGTGCAAGCGTTACAATTTCACGGACACAATCTACCCATGACAAAACACACGTGTGCGTTGCGTTCGGTCGTCAAAATCGCTCCAGGGGCGTTTCTGGCGGATACGCAAAGCTTGGCGCAAGTGTTGAAGCGCATCTGGAAAGGCGCGCTTTATCAAGATAATTTGTCTGGAAGATGTTTTGATACTTCGAATAAAATCTGTCCTTTGGCTTTCCCAATGTTTATCCAAAACTCTACCACCGGTCAATTCTGAATGCCTGGCAATCCTCACCTAAATAAAGGAAAATGTGTTGGGGAGTTGTATCGGTGTTACTGAACACTATGTCTTCAAAGCTACCCAAGCGTTCAGGGATTGTATCTGAAAGATACTGATCAAAGGAGTCTGAAACGTTTCCTGAAATACTGCACTTTTGCCTTGGTTGTCCTGCTTGCATGACGATGGTTAGGGCCCACGCTCGCGGACAATCTGGAAGTACTAAAGTTTCGTATTCTGTGATCACGTCTCCCCTTAAACAAACTTTTATTTAAATGGTACAATGGAGACACTGTGAAACCAACCTGAGTATTGGTTGCCTTTTCATTTTGTAACTTAAGATCGGACATTTGGAACAAGTGGAAGTCAAGGTAAATTCTTGACTGTTTGACGGTACGGCATGGATCGTTTGGTCCCACGTGTTTGCCTCTCAGTCAAACAGCGGCCCTATAGTCATGTTGGCTTCGTCAAAAGGCTAGAGAGACAGGGAAATGTTCCCAGATGACAAAATGTTCTCTTGCCGGGAGGAAACTATACGTTGAAGGGAAACTCATTTTTTTCCTCGTGCGCACAACATAATAATCTCAAGCGCACGACATTATGTTTTGTGCGCACTAGTTCATTTTCTCGTGCGCACGAGATACTTACAGGAGTTCAATTTCTTTTATTTCGTGGGCACGAGATAACTATTAAGAAAATTACTGTCCCTTTAGGGGCTCCGTGACAAGAGGTTTGTGTTGAATTCCACATTCTTATTACTGGCAGTCTAAACGCTAAACACCACAAGGGATAAACTTGGATTGACGCCGTTTTCAAGTCGAGGTCAATGCCAAATGAATTTCCTATTGCGCTTTAATCAGATTTCTCTGCATTCGAGTTTCTGCGCAACACTTCTTGCAGTACTTAGACCAAATCAAAAGAAATACCAGGACTTTACATAGATATTTATTTGAATGAAATAATTACAATGGTACAAGGGACAAACAATGGGAAATTAGATTTGTACACACTGCTTCAAATGAAAACTCTCAATATTTGAAATGCAGAGATGTACCGTTTGATTGGAAAAGAGGACCGGCATAACGTGATAGTCACGACATGCTGTTGTTTGAGACAGGAGCGTTTCGGTACTTACCACAACGGTCCGTACGATGCAGTCTGTCACTTTACTTTAATGAGCCAACGACTGGAGTTACTCATACCCCAATTGTCGGCTGGAGAAACAACGACCAACTTGTCGGAGCCAAGTTTTGTCATGACGGTTAACACTGCACGAACTTGAACGGTATAAAGGACAACATGCCTAAATGACGGACATTAAATTACTGGACGAGTGTGTTACACATAGCAAGTGAGCGTAACTATTTCTCTGAAATTCTGAACTACTCCAAAACGTTTTTTTTATAACCGATTTTCGTCTTCTGGAAAAAAATAATTTAAAAGGGTCGTGCAGCATAAAAGCCAGTAACCATTCACTAGAATTCCACAGAGAGACGTCTGTAATTAAGTCGACGGATAAGTCGCTGTATGGGCCAAACTAATAATGACAAATGTTTGAATGGAAACTGATTTATGAGATAACAGATATATGCATGTGGGAACGTGTTTCGAAGAGAAAAGATCGTTTTCAATTAGCACATGTTCTCTTTTATTTGATAAGGTGTATACAGTACCAAAGGGAAACGCACTTTCTTTTGTGTAACAGGTATCTCACAGTACCGATAGGGGTCGCTGAGACAAATGAGTTGTCATTATTGGCGTCGCTTCCTTTCACTCTAATTATCGTTTCAATGTTACGTGGTTTGATAGGAGAACTGTCCCTTTTTTAATGAAAAGGAGAACATCAGTTCTTTTCCATTTTGAAACGGACGTAATTTGAAGGTGTCAACTGTCGTGCAGTATTTTACAGTTCCACTGAGATTTCTTTCAAAGATATCCGATCGCACCGTCGTCTTGTAAGAGAATGCCTGGGCGATCTTGACAGTTGGAAATTGTACAGAAAATTAGAATATTGTTTGATGATTTCTTCCTATATAAAAAGCTATAATATATTCTAAGGAAAGGATTTTCAAAAACAGCACAGAGGAGCAAAGAAAAGAAATGAAGAAAGAGAACAAATCAGATATTTTTAAGAGAATCGAAAGAGAACAAGTCATTCGGAGCAGCAACCGATCATGATCATGAGGGAGAACACAACTTCTTGCCATCCTGGTTGACAACACTCTTCAATATTTTTGCCACTTAGTGAAACTGTAAATAGCATGGGACCATCAATATATCATTTTTGGCGGGAGGCGAATCATTCAAAACTTGACTCTCCTTAATCGAATTGCAAAATCACTAACGATCCAATGTTAAACGGGTTCTTTCAATGTGACGAAAAGACCGGACTGCTTTAGCCCTCGATGAATCCTAAAATGGGACACCTGCCACATCTTCAGCCACGTATAAATTCCATGTTGATGAGTTTTAATTTAGTAAGTTTTGTTCAGTAAATTTCTTGCAAATCTTTGCCTACCGCCCTCACGGAATGTCAAGTTTTTGACAAAGGGAGCCTTCATTAATCGATTCGTCTAGTCGAGGTAAAAGCTTAGCAGACGCATGAGTACAGGTGTAATCTTATTGCACACACTAATGTAAAAAAATGCACTTGTCTAATTCTGAAGAGACCGGAGTTCTCCTATTGCTTCGGGCCGAGTGCTGGCATAATTGTGTGAATGCAATTTTTGTCACTGCAAAACCTTACTTGTCATTCTTTGGCACATTAGACGACATCGTAACAACTCATCAAGAAATAAGCCATCCAGAAAACCTATTTTCGGTTGTAATCTTTGTATGAAACAAACAGTTTGTGACACGTACTTGATCAACCCGCAAACAAATTGATGATCACTGAAACAATAAATTAATTTATAAAAATCAGTAATGGTGGACGTGTCCAACCAACCGGTCAATAACACTTTTCTGAGCACTTCCCTCTGCTATAAGTTCGTATACATGTTTGAACGCCAAACACATTATGAGTGTGGATGGATAGTGTTTTGCCATGTTTAGGAAATTGACATAAAGCTTGTAAGCATCTAAACATATTTAAAAGTGAGGGCAAGATTAAAATTGAGTGTAGTTTCCAGAGTGTATGAACATAAATCTACTAATTACAATGTCTATTTAACTTATCTGTTTGCGTCTGATTAAATGAAGCACAATTTTATATTTCATAAAAACCGGTATGATTTTTCACCAATGATGGTCACTTACAAGGCGTCCACACCTGTTATGAATTTTCATGCCCCTGCTCTTCCTGAAATACCCGTGCGCAATGTAGAATGTCAGAAAATAACTGTATGGTTGCGAAAAGGGCGCACTTTGCCTAAGCTGCCAGGGAGCGTTCAAGTTAAAACCCTTCGTTCCGAGCTGTCAAGTCAAAAGCTTTTCGGTAAATGTATTCTGCAGAACCACTTAGGTCATGTACAACAGATTCCAAAAAGGGTCCTTTCCCTATTGAAATAAACACATGCAATGTCTCAAGATGTCTTTTAAAAATAAGGAAAAATTTCCTAGTTATGCATTTTCTCCGATTTATTCGCCCCCAAAAGCCGTTTGTAGCCTATATTTCGTAATCTTTTTAAATGTTATTTTCGTCATTTTGTGATGTTGTATCGAGCGTGTTAAAGGTCCAGTTCGGTGGAAACCTTTTCTTTTCAGAGAAATTCTGCACATTATATGCCTTTCAATTGCCAAGCCCACCGGAATTCGCTTTTCAGCACCCCAAGGTTCTAGCACGCATCCCCCCCCCGTCAAAATCCCGCTGTGACTGAATCAACTACGTAACAAGCTGCGGTCGGACATACCACGGTCGTCTTTGAGCAACAACAGCGGCCGCTCGCAAGTAAGTTCGTAAGGCGTTCGTGTCATTGTCATCCACAGTCGAAACATTCGAACGCGGTCATGTATCAGCATCTGATCTTCAGTCCGGTTTCCCTGACATTGTAATATATTTTGCATCATCTCAAACTGGAGACAAATCACATTCCAGTTCCTCAAAGAAAAACATGCAATCGCACGTAAAACTTGAACAAGATCTTTTTTTCTAGTCTTACATTTGAGTCTTTTCCACGTAGAGTAGTTAGTTTTCCCGATAGGTTTGGTTTTGGAAATAGTGAATGTTTGAGGCACGAAAGAAATTAATGTGCAAAACAGTGTCGAGTGAGTACATTTTCTCAAATATTTGACGGAAATAGTTGGGATCCATGACGGTGTGCATGTGCCGGTCAAATTTTGACTCAAGGAATACAACGTAGACATGTTTAGCCTATTAGTATCGTTATTTCTAATCTTCTTCAAAATTTATCATATCTTACCGTGCTTACAAATTCAAATCCTGCTTTGTCATGTAGGCCTACATACCTGGTTTGTACATGTATTTTCATTCCACAAAACAGTTCTTTCGAACATGTAAGGGATATGTGTCATTAGACAATTATCACCGGGATGACAGTGTAGGTTTCCGCGCACTGATGAAGTTATAGATGCAATGTATGGAGAATTAAGTTACCGTTCATTTTGTCCCCTGTATCACAATCAAAACCTCAAGAAATAAGGTTTTTTAAAACAAATGCGTTTCCGTGAGAGAAAGGAAAGGCTTTTTTGTGTTGTCTTGAATCTTTTCACAAGAGGTACCAGACTTTTCAAAGATCGAACTTCCTTAAAAACACGTCATCATTTGGAAAGTGATGTTTTGAAAAATGTGTTCAGGAAAAGAGATGAAAGTGCATAACTTACACGCTGTAATCACCACCATGGAGCCCGACGAGTCGAGGTGCACCTAGTCCAAATGAAGACAGCCGCCAGACTGAGCCGATGGTAGTGGCTGCATACTGCTGCCAGCAAAAGTGCATAGTCCTGGAAGCCCCATTCGGCTTTTTATAGCCGAAACTAGGCCAAGCACCTGGCGCTCAGTGACAGCAGTTTCTCTCGCGAGCGCTAGCGCCGAGTGTGTGTGATCAGCTAGCTGGGCCCCATCACCCCGCAAAACACACACATCACACCACACACCCCTCCCGAACCTGAACCGACACTAGCGGCGCCCAGCCCCGGGGGCCTGATTGGCTGGTGTCGAGAGGCTGGCCTGACGTCACACCCTTAATCCGATTGGTGGCTTCGACGAGTTCGCAATTTGCATGTTGGTTTGTTGTCGTGGCGAGTCGTCAAGTCTCTTTCCCCGTTTAAAAAGCAAAACAGTGGTCAAAGTGTAAAAGTTTGTTGGGCCTGTGTGTGGCCAAGCGGTCGTTAGTAACGCCTACGCGTCAAACGTGTAAAATAGAGGAGGGGTAATTGTTTTCCAGATACAATTATACAGAACACAAATCACGTACATGACAAAAAGCCGGGCCGAATACAATGCGCGTGGTTTTTAACACTGACTTTGACAATTTCAAAAATTTCCTTCACCAAGATTAATTATTCGCAGCAAAATTTAACAATTCAGCTACGTATAGTTTTCGCTTTTTATCAGTTTTTAAGTTCTGTATTTTTGGTTTTTGTTCATTCCTATTTCCTGCCTCGTTGTATTGTATGTTTTGTTAGACAATATCAAATAAAGTGTTAAAAACCACTCTCCCGCACGCCCCGAGATGCTGGTGTTGTCACTCTGACAATCTGACACTTCCTTGATCCGAATTCCCATAAGAAGACACGATTTACAGACAGGCATTTGCCGTGGCCGAGGACGCGATGTGCACGCAATGTTCTCGGTCACATTAGTGGCAAAACGCCTCGGTGGCACTGGGTAGAAGGGTCATTCGAAGTAGCGACTACCCCTCCCAACAAGTTGCCTCCGAGAGTTTCGCACTTAATTCCTGGTCTTGTTTGCTCTGTATTCACAGCCGCGCTTTACCTTCAATCCTCAACAGAAACAAAACGGCTACAGATGGAGCGATGATCCGTCATGGCGCTCTCAGTAAACTTTTCCTTCTTTACAAAACGTTTGACGTCCCACCGTTTGCCAAAACATCTACGAGATACTATTTCAACACAATGAATAGATTTACATGCATTATGTTAAAAAGAGCGTGCCTAACTCCCACCGTCGGGTATATACAATAAAGCGCTTGGGTCTATAGACTCATCACCTCAAAGGGAACCGAAAATGATCCGGAGAACCGATAATTGTTTTGCGAATTATTCCCAAATTCCATCCATGGTGAAATCTTCGCGCTTTATTTGAACAAAATGAGCTGGCACTTTCTTCTTGCTGGGCCCTGGCAAACCTTATTAGAAATCCGTTGGGAAAACATCGACTTAATCCATTATTCGGGCACACAGATTAAAGCTGGTATGATGTCCAGCGCCCCACTGCCGGGGTTCATAGCGCATTGTCTTGTTTACAAAAGAACGACCGAGATTTCTTTTAAATTAGTGGGCAAACAGATTGCAGCTTTAGGGTGGTAAAAGGACAGCGAAGAACGATGAAGTGGTGGAGTCTTACATTAGAGAGGATAGTCACATGGTCTTGGGCGATCAAGAAAGACGGGCCAGCGAAATTCGCTGACGCCGACTGACCTAATCGTCTTGTTGCCATACTCATAAGATCCAATTATTCTTTGGCTTCGTAAAAGCCTCCACAGAGGAATTAAATTAATGGATTAAATTTGGGTTAATTTTTTTTTTCAACCAATGTCGGAGATCGGAGCACCATGGGCTCATTACGCTTAGTGCATTATTATTGTTAGATGCATTGTTAAACATACTTTAAAAAAAAATCGAGTATGCCATTCTTTTGTTTGTGAACACTGACCGCCATTTTGCCTGGGCGACCTAAGTCGTCGACCTAAGTCGACGAAGTCTGTCCTTGATTAGCGACATCTTTTCCTCAAAGGGCTCATTTAATGCATTACTGCTGAGAAGCGATCGAGGTATTTTTTTTATTTCTTTTAACAGTTAGCATTTCTAATTTGGTGTTTCTTTCGCTATGTACCTGATTATTTCGATACTTGCAGCATTATTCTGTTGATTTTGTACTGTTGGTCAGTCATCGTTTGTCAACCAATGGTTGGTAACACTACGCCAGTGACCATGCAAAGGAAACGTTTATACATGTCTTCCATAGTGATCACGTGGCTCGTGGTGTCTGGAAATGCGCATTTTACTGTTATTTTTAAATTCTAAATGATTTTGCTCCGAGTATGACATTCAGGGAATGGTCTGACATGTAGCTGCAGCATAGTTGTATTAAGACGACCTATAAATAAGCAAGAGTATAAAGCTTTTCTGCTTGTTTCTTGTTACAAGGCAAGTAGCTGCAATCAATTTGTTTTAATTAAAACCTTGAAAATGCACCTTTGTCTCAGTTAGCCTTATTTTCAACTTCTGTTTCACTATTTCAAAGGGAATGTTATTGCCTTTTTGGTTTTATGCTAATGAATATTGAAATATTCATTAGCAAACAGGAGGACGAGTTCCTCCATATTGTACATTGGTTTGTACACAAAAAAATCCCGCATTTTGGCAGATTTGCTGGACTAAATTTTCTCTTCTTTGCTGATTTGTTGTTGTCTACGTGCATTGTAATAAGCAAATTCTGGGTTCACACTTTAAACAGAAAAACCTATGCACTGGCCTATGTCCCGACTATGATATTCAGTTGCAGTATAGTCCAACTGGTGACTCCGTTGCGCGCGTAGGCTTCAAGACTTACACGCCATCAGATTCTACCCTTTCGACGTTGGTAGGGCATACCAGCGTACCACTCCTCCCTGCAGAGAGTGTCTGCAGTGCAACGTGAGCTCAAACTGCACCTCAAATTGGCATAAAACACATGTACAATCTAACTGTCATTTTTGTATTCACAGGAGGTGAGCCCTCACTTTTCACATAATTTCAGAATGTTTGTCCTGGTCATCACGCTTTGCGCGCCAATCTCATGCAACCCCTATACTGCCGTCAGCACACAACGCACAGTGTGGGGAGTCTCCCAACCCCCACGAGTATTCTGTTTCAGCTGGAAACAACAGACCGATTGCGCCCGCCTACAGTGGGTATTACACATCAACAAACATGGCGTCCTCCCATATCAAAGTGTGCCATAGGTGTCATTTACCAAAAATAAAACTGACGTTCGCTGCAGTACTTAGACTACTGAAGTGCCAAGTGCTACACCCAAAATCAGCTTCATATTTGGTAAATAACACTTAAAACACACGATGCTATGAGAGGACGCCATGTTTGTTGATGTTTGACGCCCACTATATAGGTCACGTGACTTAGTGGGCAGAGTCGGTCTATTTTGTGGGTTGCTTTTGGTCAAAGTTACCGCATCTAGACACAGCCTTCGGTGAATAGCTGACCATTGTGTTGACAAAAGCAATCATCACGAGGGGAAAAAGTCTGCCGAGAAGCTAATTGTTTTCGGCTGATTCTGACATTTGTTCCCAAGTCACGCATTGGCTACTCTCAGGGAAGAACAAGTGCAGAATGCAACTGCCCAATCAAAGTCGGCAAGTAGAGCGATAACTTGCTATTCGCATTTCTCCTCATGCACCAATTATGGATATTAGCCAAGCATGCCTGGCCGCTTCGTTACTTGAAGTGAATCCGGTCCAGACTCCAGCAGAGATTAATTTACACGTTGCATGATCTGGAATTTTAAAATGTGGGCAAGTTAATGCTAAAACAAGCTTTATTCCCACAAAGAATTTAGTAGCTTATACTATAACCCACGTAACATGAAGCCTTGATGCTCGTTTGAAAATAGTATTACCCTCAATATATTTACTTGCAGTCAAAGATTTAAAGGAATTAAAGACCCATCAAAATTTACAAAAGTGATGCCCCCATTCCTTCCTCAATGTGACCCCGCCTCTCATAGTTTAACCAACTTGCAAAGGGTTGTCCCGAACAAAGCTTATTTAAACGCCGTGAGGAGCACTAGGTTCATTGCTTTCCCGGCTGCTTCCGTCGCCTGCAACACGCCGTGAATCACACGCTGTAACTTAAATAATAACGTGATCTTTTTAATCACGATCTTTTTCTTTCAAAGAGAGCTTTTTGTTGAAATGAAGCTGTGCTCTCGCGGCTTGCTGCGGGCGAAGCGTGCGAGGCCCATAACGCAACACTGGATGCAGTAGGTCGATGTATCGTCTACTCGTTCATCATTGACAGCGAAGGCATCAATCATGACCCCGTTGCTGCACACTATCTTCAGGTAGAGTGGGATTTTCCGTCTCCCCTCGTTCCATGCCTTTAGCCGATACATCATCGTGTCTGTCCACTGCCTGTGTGCGCAGCGCTCTAACCACACATCGCGTAACTGATCATCTAGGCCAGCAAGCTGGGACGCTAACAGCAACTAGTTCAATCGGCCACAATTCAATTCACATTGACGCAGTTCGGCTACTTCCATCGTCCGTTAAAATATAAACATATATAAACCTCTCGATTTCAAGGGGAACTACGAAGATCTTCGGTGTGGAGACCCTTGTTAAAAAAATAAAAGGCAGTCAATATTTTTGCGATAACTTTCCACGGCATTCCATTCTTTGTACAGCATCCATTGTTACTTCCGCGCCATCTTTTATTTTCACGACTTGTGCAGCTTCCAGGCTGAAGCTATGACGAAATTGTTTTAAACGGAACGAACCATTTTCTTCTCGCAACATAAGCTCTGGGTAGGGGAGGCAGTGGCCACAAATGGATCTAGTGACAGCCCTTCGTTACCGCCAATGAAGACCATGTTGGAACATCAAGGTTTCAGTACCAAATCGGCTAGTATACTGCAGTTATAGTGACTTAAATCATGCCCATTCTTTAAATATGACCATCCATAAAGCTATGACTAAGAAATGCCACTTGACACGCAGCGACAACATAGAAAGAACCACAGCATTATCTTACAACGTTACATCAGAAGCGCCAACTGAACCGCGTAAATGTGAAATGTTCAGGCGGTCCAACATGAGCTTTACTATACTTGACCTGCTTCATCTCAACTGCACAAAAGTACATTGACTCATTGACAAAAAGCACTTCATGCTTGCCGATAGCAAAAGTGCACCATTTTGTCAATTTCTCGAGGAAATTGTTGCGCTTGAAGTGTTCAGTTGATGGTACATCCTCACATAGATACACACAAGATTATTGGCGTGTTTATGGCTACGTCGAGAGATAATGCATCTTCACTTGACACTCAAACATTCTGTTTACTTGGACGCCCGATTACCTCCTGCCGATTTTTTTTACTTTGCGCCAATTGCCAGCGAAAAACTCCAGAGTCTTCCAACAACAAAGGGGGTTTCCATTTTACGTGTGAATAAAAAAGAGGAAAAGAAAGACATGAAAGAGATATGTCATCTGGCTGTGTCCACATGTTATTATGGAACGTAGAGTGGCAATAAAACACAACGGTGACCAGTAGCCGTGCTCGCACGTGACACGCGCCGCGCACCTGTGCCGCTCCACTTACAGGGTGTGGAGTTTGTCATAATACCGCCTACCCCTATCGGAACCCGGCACGCGCACTTCTGTCAACTCCCAGTGCCCGTTTTTGTGGACCTTATCTCTCCAAAGGCAGTAAATTAGAGGGCTTTTCAGAAAAGTGGTAAGTGTTTTTTTGTCTCGTGTATGCGCACGACAGGCGACGGAATAACACCGAGGCTGTCAGGTCGGTTTATTTTGGTAGATTTTTATCTCGGCAGTCCATTTATAAACTGGTCTGTGGGGGCAGATATTGATAAATGATCTTTTTGTGCCGTTATGCCACGTTCTTTGTCGCCTGCACATTTCGGGTGGGCTACAACTTGTCCGTTTACTCTTTTTTCAGCTGCTGTGATTCGACAAAACCTTATAAACCCAAACCACTGATTTTGCCCCTTTCGTCGTTTTCACGCGCATAAAATTCTTTATTTGTTGACAAATTTATGATAATTGAATAAAAACAGAATTTCCAAAATGCAAGGGTAATTCGAAGGAAAAGTTGCGACACGGAAGAAACATCTGGTGCTAAATTGGTATGCCTTTTTCAAACTGTCAAAACAGATTTCAGAGCTAATACTTCAGTACAAAAATTCCACAGAGTATCATTGCGCCTAATGTCGACACTCCTCACACCCATTCGAAATACATTTCAATGTGAAATGAAATGAACCAATGCAATTTGAAAATGCACGAATTCACTTCTGCACCAAATACCTAGTCAACCCGTTTCTGTCTTACTCTTTTCCCTGTCTGTTGAAAAATAAAACAAACGTAACAAATTGTAGCCTTTTCCCTTCAAATACGGCAATGTGTGTATTTTTCCGTTGCTTCTTCAGGATATTATTGTGCATATCATTTGTTCCTGCCTTCCCTCTCTGCGCTTTAAGCACCTTGTCGAGGTGGGTCTATCGCGCATTACAAATATTCTATATTACTATAATTACTAACCCTTTTTACTGAATCGTATGTGACGTAATTCTTCGTGTGAGGTTTTTATGTGCAACCCAGAACAGAGCGAAAAGACATGTTGCAGTGCAGGTACATTAGTTCCCTCTCATAGGTTTGAAATAATCTGTGTTTGCAAATGTTAAATAATTGAAGGCTTACGAGCAACGACAAGAGACTCGGACGTTGGATGACTGATGACGGCATGTTCTCTTCACATCCTTATCAAGGGCCCCCCGTCGACAGACCATTCAACTCAATGGTCACTGCATGAAAAGGGTTACGATAATCTCAGGGTCATATGTCTGCGCCACCAAGTGTCTGGTGTGAAGAAGCTTGAGCCTGCCCCTTGCAACCATCTCAACAAAAAACACAAAGGCAGACATTGACATGATTGTTTTTGCAGGGCGGCTAAAAATGACATAGTCTGTATTTTTTTATCTTTTCAACACATGTCGTCGTACCTTGTAAAATACGTGTTAAATCCTACCATTCTGAAAAATGCCTGTTGACAGTCTTTGTTTCGAGTGAAAATATGCATTAATGTTGTTGAATTTTTGAAAACGATTATGGGAGCTCAACACCGGAATCTTATCACTGATTATTTCAAACAAGTACACTGGATTGCATTGAAGGCCATATGAAATTGGCACCAAACGCGAAACCCAGCCCATCAACGCATGCACAAAGCAAATTCAGCTTTGCGTTCCGTCTATCCTGTTTTCCATCCAAGTTTAGGTTTTTAAATTTACCAACACAACTGCTCTATGAGCCTTAAAATGAATAATTCACCAAAATAAGTCGACTCACAACACGTGGTTGTTACGGTTCACCACCCTTCAGTGTTAACATAATTCTATCATACCCACGGCGTCGAGCAGCATACATTACACATCTCTCGCTCGTGTCTATATAATGTCTAGAACTATGAACGTTATGGTTAGGCGCACCGGCCAGTTGATTCATCTACAATATTAAACATCGGCTTACTACTACCACAACTGACAACGACTGTAGCCAAATGTAGTTTCGTGCAATATCAAGCTGATGGTGAAACCTGTATAAGCTGTGCTATCACACCAACATATTAGTTTTCAAATAGAAGTTTTAACGTAAACAATATAATAGGCCCTATAGAACAGTTTTGTCTAAATAACACATTTTTCCTGAGATTATTTATATGGTATGCTCCTCACCACATGACAAAAAGGAACCACACACAAAATTCGATGCAATCACGAAGAGAGACTAATCTTTGAGTGGCTGAAATACTAAAATTAAACCCCAAATCTAATGTAATGTTCACTTCCAGCCACAAGGCGTATCATACAGCCCATGGATGTTAATATTCTTGGTATATCTCGACGATTGTCTTACTTGCATTGGCTAACATATCACTACAATCGCCAAGGAAGTTCAAGATCATTACAGTTCATGAGTATGACTGATGTATACTGCTCCCAAATGGAGTAGGTCTAGTAACACATCTGGACCTGATTGCCTGTGTCATTAAGAATACACACGTTCATTGCGAGAGCCACTTAGTACATATCTATAGGCACACCAACACTGCCTTATTAGCTCTTGTGATATATTGCTCACTTATAAGGCACGCCACACCGATTGCGTATATCTTACCCTGCCTTCTTGCCGCTGTAAAGAAATTCAAGTCGAGTCGAGTCCAGTCTACACGAAGCGGTACTCCTTAGAGACCTGCATCACTCAACTTAGCCCCCCATTAATCACCGCGGGGCTAAATAGCCTGTCAAAACAGATCTCATCGTTTCTTTTTACAATAATAAAGAGCTGGTATATGATAAGCTAATACCGCGGTGGGAGATGGCGATATGAACTGGGAATCATGGTAGTCGCTTGGGAATGGGCGAGAAGGCTCTCGGCGTGCCGGCCGGCAACGCTGGAGTACGTAGGAGGAGGACCACGGGAGGACGGGGTTAGAGCTGACGAGGCACGGTCGCCTGATTGAGGGCACGCCGCGTAGCACCGCGACTCGCTGTTTGGCGCGCTAGTCGGGAGAGACCGAGCCGAGGTGGATGGATATTATGATGTGATCCGATACACTTGTTTGTATCTCGCCACATCATCAATGCCACGTCGGATCAAAGCGCACCGACGTCATGGTGGCGGGCCTCGGGACAGCTTCAAGTGTGCCAGGAAATGTAGAGCCATGGAGAGAAGGGAGACATGAGAATATGAAGACTACAGCCCGACAGCCGGTGATTAATGACAACGCCTTGTCTTTGCCACGTTCCGTAACGCCTGCTTGCTGCAACTACTTGCCCCTAAAATGCTTACAAGATACTTTGGCTACCATGGCAGTTCCCCGCTGTAACTTCTTTCATGCGGTGTTCATTAACTTCCACGTAAACTTACAGTCATCAATTTTAATGGAAGTGAGACGGAAACTCTCAAGAGTAAAAAGAAAGCCACAACAAAATCCAACACTGATCGATATTCCTTGTTCCAACGACCCAAGATCGAGTTTCAGGAGCGAACGATTTAAAAACGATGGAAATAAGATAAAGGGATTTGCACACGACAGTTGCGTATGAAGTGAAAGGCCCATCACCGAATGTACGTACTTGTAGTATGCCAAACAGGACTGCGCATGCACGGAAACTGCGCTGTGGAAGTTTGGGATTACACAGCTGTACAAAGAGAAAAAAATAGGAAACCTCCATTTCCGCTTGCAAGAACAACACGAAGCGCTACAAGACATTGGGACATTTTCCTTGGCAAATGGATACAAATCACCGAGTTTAATGAAATCTTGTATGAGGCCGGAAGAGAAATTAGCACTTTGTAAGCAATTTGTATCATGATGGTCCACGACTCCTTTGAGATGAGCTGTATCATTAGAGACGAACTAACCAAGGCAAATGTAGATGTTAAGGGTACCTCGGTGAACAAAGTAACTTTGTGGGGTGTTCTAGCGGGACACTTGTCAGGTAAGGATTTTAGAGGGAAACAAATCATTTATTACAAATGAATCTGAAAACCCACGAAACAGTCCCAGAGGACGGGGCGTGGCCTCGAGTGCCACAGGGGAAGGGGTGAAGGGCTTGGACCAAAACGTCACTCAAGCCACATGCAGACGACACCGCTACTACAAGATGTATATTACGATAGAAATCATCAACCCACACAAATTTTCAATAGATCTGCATTCTTTCTTTTTTTCGCGAGCAGCACTGGTTTCAATAAACCTTTTCGACATCTGCAATGCACTATGGGATTTGATGACAAACAAGCAAGGTTTATGCACAACTCTATGGACGAAGTGTATACCTGATCCTCTCCTCTTAACACTGCAACTTGATTTTCGACTGACTCACTTCCCCCAGTTGCACCCGTGAAATTCATGGCTTGTTTAATTGTCATCCGATCCCAGGATGCAATGAGAATTTCAAAAAGGTCAATTCTCTACTACTATTTTATGTACAGACCTGTCACTCGCTATCAAAAACGCAATGGCACACACTTCTATACAATATGCAGATAATACTGTACAATATTATGCAAACGATGCGAAGTAAAGGAACATAATCCGAGAAAGCTATCACACTGTGTAGATCCAGTGTGTTCAATAATCGATGCACCTAACTACATTGCTTGTACAATATAATACAGTAATATCGACGTGGATGTAGAAAGTGTTTGACGTGGTTTGGGTGGATAAACAGACTTCACTGATATCACATCGGAAAACTATAAAACCAAACCGAACAGTGTCTTATTCTAACTTGTAACAAACAAGTCAATGCAATGACCTCAACTTACAGCTCTGAGAGAAGTATTTATGTCCGTGTGTACATTTAGCACACACAGACCAAAGATATGGACCAATCTACCCAAGAGAGGCGCCATTACCACATGTGGCATCCTAGTGGTGCCCTTATCACACTCAGGCTGAGTTACCTGGCTTCGGCTTGACATCACACACGATTCTATGGCGCTCTCATGGCTTGCAGCCACAGCCCAAAGTGTTGCATGTTATTTTCAAGCCGTAATCTCGCATTGTCTCATACACATGCCATTCGAGGCACGCGTGTATTTTTGGAAGTCGGTCGAACTGCATTCAGTTGGTAGCCTATATACCTACGCAAAGAAAGGTTTCTAGAGGGGTTTCCCCAAAATCACGGCCTTGCCTCCGACCATGGATTTACCGGTTTTACCTCCCCGAATTAGGAGTTTTACTTAATTTAAAAAAAAGTACTAAAGTCATATTTTGCTTGACAAGCACCAAAATGTATCCCATGGATCCAACAATTTTCATTAAGACTGAGCAACAGTAGGCCCACAAGCAACACTGGTGTCAGAGACAAAGCTGGTTTTGTTTCTTTTCTGGCATCGGCGATAGCCAAAACTTATAAACTCTGGTCGCTAGCTGTAAATAGGGGTCTAACATCTCTTCCGTTGTCTTAATTGTTGGCAAAATTGTGTGACCAAAATGACCATAGGGCATAGGTTTATAGTCGAGTATAGACGTCTGCCAATACAAAGGTATTGATGTCTTTGTGTGGGTGAGATATAAACACTGTTTTCACATTTAGAATACCCGTATCAGAGCATATCAAAGAAATGCGTTAATTTATTGGTGTGAGTCCATTAGCCAATCCATAACAGTAAGTTGTGTCAGGTGCACGAAACAATCTACCCATCACTTATTTTAACGTTTTAGGTTTAAGATCTTGACATGGACTGCACCCAGCAGCACGTAGCTCATTAAATACGTGTGTTGTACGCCTAGTTAGCATCATCGCCTTCTATTACACTCGCAGAACCCTCGAGTCCGGTGATGGTACCAGACCGCAGCGAGAGCCTATCGCTCATGGGTTGACCAGAGCGGCTACCGGCCGCTACAGACGCGCGCCTGCTCTGACCAGCCTGCGAGGTACGTCGACTGGGTCTCTGTCTGACGGGCGCGTTCTTGCGCCATTTCTTGATTGCCTTCATCCACCTGGAAGAGGAAATAGAAAAATTAATGTTTGACAGAGAAAAAGCCTACATCCACAGCACGCTCCAACACTACGATGTACCATTTTGTTTTAGTATGAGGGAAAGGTCGAATTTACCCTTTGCTCAAACACAAGGCTATACTTCCCGGTGACCTTTAGTGTGCGTTCGAGCGAGCTACTCGTGTTAACAAGAGAATATCCTGAGTGCTCGAACGGCTGAAGTACGACCCGCAGGTCACACGTCAGCGAGAGTATACTCTCGCTAGATGGAGGGGGGGGGTAGACTCCTGCACCTGAGTGTAATGCGTACGCATCCTACTCGTGTTAACAGGAGTAACCGCGCGAACGCACCCTCGAGTTTGGCTTAGAGCTTTTCTTGGATAGTCTTTGTCCACACAATGACCAGGGTTCAACGGTCCCGCCTGCATTTCAAATGGGCGGGTGAAATACATATTCGCACTACGAACATCTAACAAAAGAAACAAACACTACACTAACACGGACCTTCTGTTATTGCACTGTGCTTCTTCTGTTAGATGTTCATAGTGTCGATCGTCAAGACGGCAAGTTACTCATAAAGCATTTCGACAACTGCGCCTCCTCTATAGAACAGTGTGGAAAAAATCGAGCGGTTCCCAGCACTGTCAAGACACTCAGAGCGGTGGCGGGAAAACAGTGCAGTAGGCAGTTGAGTTGAAGGAATGCATACTGTACTGAGATAACTAGCCTTTCTGTTATAGATTTGGAACTACGAACATGACGACTGCTTTTAAATTACTGCGCTAAATGCTAAATTTTCAAAAGGCCGTTGGCCAGTATAAGTCGTTGTTGAAGACATTCAACACGAGGCTTTTCAAAAGGTGCCACAGTGCCGCTTGTGTCACAGAAAAATAAGCGTGCGGGAAGTGCAAAGAACATTGGAAATTGCAGCCCACATGCATGGATGGTGGTAAAGATTATAATTAATGAGAAAATTGTGACTGTCCAACTTTTGCAAAACGATAAGACAAGTCACGCAACATGGCTTATTGCATTCGCGTTATGAAAGAAGCTAACCTAGGTATTACCACACTGAACTGACAGGTTGTTACAGATCTTACCAGTAGGCATTATACACGCTGTAACGATTGATCGCCGGCGTGTTGTGGATATCACCACTACCGTCCAGCTCCTTGACGAACATGGGTGGGCCTCTCTGCCGGGGCGTTCTCAACGGAGTCTTAGTGGAAAGCTTAGAGCCCGGTGGCGGGCCACGGCTTCGCGCCCCGCTGGGGCCCGGCGGCGGCTTGCTACGCTGCGACGGGGCCACGGATGACCGTCGGGAGGTGGAGGGCTGGGGGTCTCCTTCGGCAGCCTCTGAAAATTGGGGTGCATGTTCAAAATCGTGGGTGATATAATTGGGATGTCGTTTTCTTTCTTAACCATCCTTATTCTCTCATCCAATCCCTCATTTTGAGTGTAGGCGAGACGTGCAAATCCCGTCCCCATGTACGTATATACGGAAGACAGCAACATTGGGTAGTCGCTTACGATATAAATGTGCGGCCGGCGCCTCTCTGCTAATGCCCTGTAATGCCATCAAGTATATATTTTCGAAAAGTGAAGGACTTTTTTTTCGAAGTCCGTTTTTATGAGATGTTTGACGTTAGTTTGTCGAGATATAAATCAAACTTGAAAATATATCCATTGGAAAAATATACCTCATAAAAGACTTTCAAAACTTAGAATCAATGTTACGAACAAACTGGAATATGTCTTGAACAAATGAACTTTGGCAAAAATATATCTTGTAAAAACGAAGTTGAAAAAAATTATATTTCATAAAACGAACTTCAAATAATATATTTCGCTTTTTAGATTGAAATACATAGGCCTACGTCTTGATGGCACTACAGGGATTTCGTACCTGTCAGCCAAAATCTCTTTTGTTTGGGGTTCTTCTTTACAGTCACAATTAACAATTAATTCTAGTTTCCTCCTCTGCTCTCAATTGGTTAATAATACACTCGACAGCAATCTTCACACATTGAGCCAGACTCCGCCAACAAGTTCAGCGTTCACCTCTATTTTGAGTACTTCCCCTGTATATGATGGAGCTGCCAATGCGTACGCGTAAACACGTATTACACGATTGAAGCAATATTTCTCGTGAATTTGGGTGATTCTGTAAGGGTTTTGACAAGTGAACCTACCCTTTCTTGGACTCTTTGCCGTAGCTGCACCGCTAGGGGCTGCATTGCTGCCGCCTCCTCCCTCCACACTCACACCTTTGCCTGCTGACACATCAGCTATTTCTTTCTTCAGCTAAAAACAAAAAATGAACAAGGGCAATTGTGTGAACACGTGGGCTACCTTTCAAACGCCCACACACGCAGGTGCATTTCTGGCTACTAGAAACAGTAAGTCACGAAACTGTTCGAGTTATAGACACGATATGACGTTAAAGGTTTAATGAATGAATTAAGCAGACTTCCTGGAACGGCATGATTCTACCCGCTTTTAATTTCAATAAAATAACAGTGAAAATCTGGACTGAGAAACTGCATAGGCACACTGCAAAATTCTCTGAAATTTACAGAAAACCGGAGAAGCATTTCTACAGACCTTTTTTGCGCACATTTTCTCCGCTCATTAACCATTGTGTGGATGAGCGTTAGAACTGTGTCCGACCCGGATAAAAGACCCGTCTTCTAAATGTGGCAAATTCGGGGTTTCTTGCTTTTATCACTCTAAAATCAAAAGCATCTTTCACAAATTGACACGCTATGATATGTTAATTAGTAATTAAGAGCTTTGAAATCAATCACTGTTTCAGTACTTCTCGAGGTAACACTTAACCATGTCATTATTTACCTGCCCTTTAATTGGAACATTTGGTGTACATGTACTTAATTCAAACCCCTGAATGTTGCACTATCGTGAACACAACAGAAAAGATGGTTAGTTCATCACTCTTGTTGAAAAAAAAAACACACACTCTCGCTCTAAAAATAATTTCCGAGTCAAACATTCACTTGAGGTGCAGAAAGACACACGTAAAATTCACTTCAAAAAAAGTGCAGTTCCATTTATCACAAGAAAGGAGCCCGAAAAACGCGAGCTTTTTCAAGCAGTTGATAACTGACACAAGCCAGCGAAAGATCAGAAATGCATGCCCCCTCTCATGCATCAACCTTAGACGATCGATGACGGAAAGCAAGGGGGGACCCCCATAAATGAAATTAGACCACGCTTGAAAAAAAAGCCCATCGGAGGTGGTTTATTTGCAGGGCAATTGTTTCTGAAAACGCTACACGCACCCCCACTTTAGTGGACTAATATTCCATTGATCCGGCGGATTATGTCAATAAATGCAGGTAAATTATTACAGGAATTAGGTACAATATCCGCCGAGTCCTGAGCTTGGGTCCCGACAATAATGATTTACAATTGGTGGAGGGCTTAATGCATATTTCGAGTCATAATGGAGAGTGTACTTTTTTGTTAGAGGGCTCGCATAGCAACTGGCCAGTACTTATCTATGACGCTGGAGCGAGAGACATCTCGCTCGCCAAATGTTCTCGTTTTTCTTTTTTTTTTAAGTCTCATTGTCTCCTACCTCATCACACTAGGCTGGGGTAGAAACATCTAGGGTTCCAAAAATGAATGCTCCAGTACCGCGCGCCATCCATTCATGAGTTCAAAAACATCACAAGATTGGCGAAATACGGCGAGTAATGCTTTAAAAATACAAAACATTCTGTCTGCATTACAGAAGAAACAAGTCATGCGCACTGTTCCAGATTTCCATATGCTACATACCTATCATGGCAGACATGAAATATGATAAATGAATCCAGAACTCGTACTATGCTGTACCTCTGGAAGATTGCTTTTATTTATGTAATTAACCGAAGTTACCTTCAAGATAGCTAATACAATGTTGTGAGCTTTGTGTTAAATCCCATTTCATACACGGTGAATTCTAGTCTAAAGGGCAATTTCTGGCACATTCTAATGAACGTACTTGTGTTTTCTGAACGTCTCGATCAGTTTTCACCGTAAAGCGTCACTGCAGTTCAAAGCATTGCAACATGAGTGCCAGTGAAGCTGCCAATTATCTTTGAATAGTAAAACAAATTTCATCAGTAACTTAAACATTTGCCTCAAGAACAGCATAACTTCGTCAAACACGCAAAGCTCCCTCTTCACAATGTTAAATAAGCTACTTCTTCAAATTCCAACCGAATTTCGAACCACTGAACATAACTATTTACTACCTGTAAAGATAATTGTTCTTCGTGTCAGTTCGGTTCTCCAAAATGAAACAAAATAATCCAACACTTGTTTAAAATGTTGCAAAATACAGTTTCTATACAGACTTTTTTTCAGTATCATTATATTACATGCTCACATAAGATAATTTACACAAGGCACACGACATTTTTACGCTTATCACCAGAAGGAAGATGGTTGAAAAACGTTTCCTGTCAACTTACAAATATATTTCAGCTAAGATCATTTAAATATAAATACACTTCAATGTGGTGTACAATCTAAAAAATATTTTGCCTTAACTTCGACTGAGCAACACATCATCTGGAAGTTCGACTCAAACAGTTTCTTGAATCGTGAGACAAAGCAAGCACAAACATGAACAAAAATATATGTAGCTATTCCATCAAGTTAATTTACATGTAGCAGTTCTGTCCAAAAATGCAGGAAACGGGATGTATTTTGACATATTCAGCAACTGAACTCAAACAAATTTACTTTTTTACCATTTTTGTAACTTAAAACAGACGATTTCAAATTGACAATGACGGCTGAGAAATCTTTTAGATTATGACAACAAAAACTTAACAAAAGAGAATTTATCTTTTCCACTAATCGACATGTAACATCAGACGGGTTTGAAGTTACCGGTATTGTAATGTGCGGCAGTAATGGAACACCATCAAAGGTTCAAGCTGTTAGATTTGCCTGCACTATTTGGATAGTTTATATGAATCTACCGAGCCCAGATTGTAGAAAAAAAAACAAGTTCAGAGCCACGGTTGCTAAGCAAAATGTCTGTATAGCAATACTCATGGGCGTCATCAGGATTGTTTCCAGGGGGAAGCAAACCACCTTTTCTAGGAGGAGGGAATGAAGAGCAAGCACTACTTGGCTAAAAACAAAAATCCTTTAAATGGGGATACAGATTTTGGGGTTTAAAATGTTTAAAACAACATAGGGCCTCATAGATTATCTGACAAAAAAGCTTTACTTGGCAGAAAAGACTGTTCCACTACTCAACTGTGTGTACATGACCAGGTATTTGAACAATCTCTGCACGTCTTCACATTTACATGGGCTACAAAGTTCAACAACCATTTTGAAATAGTACAAGTCAGCTTGGAAAGAAAACTATTGGTTTGATGTATAGGTCATTATCATTCCAACGCCAGCCTGTCTTTACATGCAATACGCTATCATGGGTTCAATGCCTGGAAACCAGACTTGTTGACAATTGCAGGTACAATTAGTGCATCAGTGCATCATTGAATAAAATCAACATCTGTGGGTACATCCACTGGTGGATCAGGGAGCGGGAACAACAGGGTCCATCCATCCCCCCCCCCGGAAAAAGCTTTGTTTTTGAAAAATGAGACAAAAATTATTTGGAGGGACTTCTTCCCTTCTTAATAAACAAATTTGGTTTTGGATCTACCCTTGGCTACAGAGTGCTTAATTGCCAACATTTATCTCACACTACCCATATAGCTAGGGCCACATGGACCCTTAAGGAAATCATTGTAACCGTAATTTTCTTCATTTGAGTTGGTGAGTTTGTTTCTGCAATCAATTAGGAAAACAGAACAAAGGACAACAGGTTCGTGGTTGGGTAAGAACCCGACGGGAAAATCATTTTCAAGATGTATTTTTGCGTTGGGGAGATGTTAATTTTATATAATCATATCCCAATCCTTTGTCCAAACAAACGAAGACTGATGGAAAGTCCATGCATATATTTTCTAGAGTTTTTGGGACTGTGTATACACCAAGTTCAAAAATTATGGGGACCAAGTTTTTGCCCCTCCAACTAAGTCTTGCCTTCCAACCAAAAGAAATTGGCCCCTAAATGATGTCACGACCTGAGTATAACTGTTGGCATGTGTTGGATGGGGGCTCACTAACACAATGAAGCACAGGTGATTAGCTGCAATGTGCTATTACCAGGATGTTGATTGTCAACTTGACGCATGGGCCCTGCAAGGCAAATACTTGCTTTGTTATTACTGCACTCTCCTGCGAACCCTTTGATTGATTAACCTGAGCAGTCCCAACGTCTTGAGCTACCTGTCGTGGTTGCTGCCTGCCGACGCCCTACCTTGACCTGAATTCCCCCTCCGACTTCCCTTGGCTGACTCCGCCCCACTGTCCTTCCTCCCGGGCGTCTGTGGGCCTGACGGGCTCTTGCCATTAAGAAGCGGGGCTACTCGGCCCTGCAACTCTTCAAACACACCCTGCATGTCTTGCACATCTTCTCTCCTCTGAAATTTGTATTGTAGGTGTGGGAAAAACCAACGGCAAAACACACACGGGTGATACACATGTTAAATGTTAGTCTGGTGCAGAAACAAACAACTACACATCAGAATGTATTTGAGGCGAAGTCAAGTCCTTTCTTCTGAGTCCCTCAAGTATAATGAAATAAAAGGTGGTACGTTATGAGTTATACCTAAAGGCAACGACCTAATAAGATTCAAGTCTTCAGGCTTGCAATTATGGCGAGGAATCTGAAAAGCTAAAAATGTCCAAGTACACGTAAAGCGACACAGAATGGAATAAACACAGAATTCAGTTTCGTCTACAAATTCCACATAATCCAGTTGGGTTCCATTCCATACCATCAAGGAGAGGGTAATAATTTCCTATCATTCCTACAATGTAACACTCCCCCATAGACTAAGCACTTGCACTTACTACTGGGGATAAACGACTGACCAACATGACGAGGAAAACATCTTTTTTGCTGTTCCTCTTGTACTTTTCTTTCTTCCATGGCAAAGTATGTACCCTTTCCAACATACCGGTACATGTACCCTAGTCATTCATTCAAAGCAGGCCTATCAACAGGATCTTGGTAATTAAGCTTATTTCTTACCATATCACTTTATGTACTTGAGGTCATTTGAGGACTCCAAAAAGGACTCAACTTCAGCTCTGATACGTGTATGTCTACAGATGCTGACAAACTGTAACTGAACTTGGAAATGCAGGAACTTTTCCAGGGGAATATTCTGCCTGTTTGTGTTTTCTTTAATCACAGGCAAGTTGTAGTTTTTTCCCCAACAAACAATTTACCGCATTCCAAATAGAGCATTGCCTGAGAAATACCCATGATCTATAAAGTTTCAAAATGCTCCTTAACTTTGTTTGCTTTGAATCAATGCAGAAAATTCCTTGTATTGACCAGGTTAGGTCTCCTGGTTTCAGTTGATAAAGTGAAGTTGTCCATAATCCAATTTCCTCAAAGTTTCAACTTGTATCGACAAAACGGCAACTGACAGCAGACATCACAGAACGAAACTCCAGGCCCAAGCTGTAGCTTTTGCATTTATGTTTGGCCAATTTTAGTCATGATAGCGCATCACCTTATTCCTACTGAGTAGAACAGCTCACTAAGACTTTAACCCACAATCACTGGATTTAGGTTCGTGCCCTTACGGTCAGAGGATACCTCCTTCAACTCTGGAAGTCACTTTGTATTCTTTCCTGACACAGTCCAAAAATTTAGCTTTGTGGACTGCACTTCAACTGAGTGTGATGTCACAGCAACAACGGTGTATCAGTCTGTGCAGAGTTTCAGCAATGCCATCTACATGGACTTACAGCTTTCGTCTCGGCATCTATCTTCCTTCCTAGATGCACTCGGACAGTCTGGATGCTACTCTCTACTTTGCCAATCTGCTCCTTGAGCTGCGCAGAAAGCATAATATGAATGGTTACCCTGGCTGCAATAATGAAGGCACACACATACATCAGAGAGGTTAACCATAATGTTGATGTTGGACGTAATCAGGATGCTGGAGATGGTAAATGTTGGTTTTTCGCGGAGGGAGGAAAACCAGAGAACCTGGAGAAAAGTTCTTGTGGCATAGGAGAGAACCAACAAACAACTCTACTTACATATGGCAGGGCCGGGAATCAGACCCAGGACCACACTGGTGAGAGGCAAGTACTTTACCCACAAGCCAACCGTGCCACCCATATGAGTGAAACATACATCACATTCCAAGGCTGATACAGCCAGAATGCAACAGATTATAAAATTAAAATGATATTCATATCTGGATAGGACTCAAACACAATTCACCCCAACAAATCCAGACAAAAAATACAAACTTTGGCCAAGAAATAAACTATTATCTCTACAAAAATTACATTGGACAGCAACAGAAACTTGCCATTTCTGTCAAAGGCCACACATAAAATTCACCCCATAGAAATAAAAAAATTTTGTACACAGGTACAATGCAATACCCCTTACTAATCACATGCCCAAAAGCAAGTGATTATCTTTACAACAAAGGAGAACGTGATTAGTAAGGGGTATTGCCGCATACCTGTGTACAAAAATTGTTTATTTCTATGAGGTAAATTTTTATGTGTGGCCTTCGACAGAAGTGGCAAGTTTCTTTTGCTGTTCAGTGTAGTTCATATGGTCAGGCTGGTTTAAAAAACAAGACAAGAGAAAAAAAAACCTACCTCTTCAATCTTCTTCCGTTGCTGCAATAAAACAAACAGTAAAAATGCGATGAATTCAGGGAAACAATAGGATCGATTCTTAAAAGTCCAACATCACTTCCATTTGAGCTCAACAGCAATCAGCACGGGATCATTTATATTGGTACATGCTTGTTATTGGGAGTCTGAACTCTGATCTCATTTGATTAGATTTCACCAGGCAATAATAATCTTTAGCAAGAAAACAGCAGCATACTCCAAAGGAACTGAAAACTTATTGACAAAAGTCATCTGAACATGTTATTATCTTGAAGAGTAGAGTAAAACGACAAAGGTCTTTGTGTTCTGCCACTGCCAGAGCTGTAAATTCTGTTACCCTCGTAATACACTTGTAATTCACTTGAATGCCTCATGCCTTTGTGCAGTTCTACACCACACCCCACGAGTCCTACGGGAAGCTGGGAAGCAAGCACCTAGGCTCTGGAATGGCATCCCCCTTGGGTCTGTGAAGCCCCCACTCTAGACTGTTTTAAGTCTTGGTTAAAAATACATCTCTTTCAGGTGGTGTACCATATTTTATAGGTGTATCATCCTTGCTTGTTATAATGCTATATTGTGCATAATTGCATTTAAGGTTTTTTAAAGTGATGTTTAATAACTTTTTTATTTTCAGTCTTTTTTATTATGTTATTTGTAGCTACACTCTGATGGCTAAGGTGTTGAATCCAGTATTTGTGGGTGTTTGATGTTGTTTGTTGTTGTTTGTTTTAATGGCGCTTTCAGCTACTCAGGCTATTTGCGCCAATAACTGTACGTTTTTGTTCATACACTTTATTAATCAGCATCACATTACAGAGTTAAGAAGAAGGTTTTGTGGGTGTTTGGTGGGTGGCCACTTTTAAGGGTGTAGGGTCCAGCATCTTCTTTTAGCTTTTTACTGCATAATTTGTAGGTAAGTTTATTTCAGTCTTAAAGTCATAGCATTGGCGTGTTTTATTTATGTACAGCCTGTTGAGATCTGTTTTATGATGTAATGGGCTCTGAACAATTAATATCATTATCATTATTATTACACCCAAACTGGCTCAGTGTACTGCTCTGCAGACTTGGAATTAAAGGTTTTTCTTTGCAACATTTCATTCTCAAAGGTGACTTGCAAGCCACAACTCCATTTGCTAGTCTTGTTCCCTGACTTGCCGCTTGACAATCTGGAGGCCAGGTACCCAATGTTGGGTGACTGAGCAGGTTCTGGAAAAGTATCAAATATCCCCCCCACATCAGAGAGTAGGGGGATACCACTCCCCCATCCCCATGGATTTACACCCCTGAGACTAGTGAAAAATTCCTGCCAAGTTTTTGTTTCAAACACTAAGGGTGTGTTTGTTTCACACAGACCTGGATTTCAATCAGTGATCCCCGAGTTGGTTCTATCTATCCATGGGGTGGGTTCTGGTGTCAGTGAACCAACACTGGATCACTGATCACAATCCAGATCTATGTGAAACAAACAGGCTTTGCATCTAAGGTCAAGTCTGAATTACTTGGCTGCGACTTGAAATTACCTACAAGTCTATGGTAATGGTTACAGCCACTTCCCACTGAGATATGTGTATTTATAAGCCGCAGCCTGGTAATTCAGACACAGTCTAACCTTGTTGATGACTTCCTCCATGTCATCAATCCTGGCTCTTGTGGCCTCATCCACTTTGCCGCCCCCTTTGCCCTGGGCAAGCTTCTCCTTCTGCGTGACTGGTATGGAAGGCACGGCCGCCTCAGCTCCAGCCGGTGCAGCCTGCTTGGCTGCCTCGATCTCCTGGGTCAACTGGGTGTACTTAGACTGTAACTCCTGGCGAACCATCTGCACGTCACGAATTCTGGAAGGAGTCATTGTTCAGGTGATGATTAATTTACAAGTTCTGGAAAGTGAGGTTCCATACGTTGACGGCAATTCACAGAGTTATACGACTTGTGACTTGGACTCGAATCCAACTGGAGACCAATTTTTCATGACTTTCCAATCATCCTAGGAAAGGATAGAATCTTGACCTGTACATTTTGCCAAATAGCAAAACAAGGTTTTTTTACCAGGCCAAGTTTTTCCAGTGATGTCTTTTGTTCATTTTGACACCAATTTCATGAAAATGCCTTTTGTTTCCAAGCCACTTCAGCCAAAAATATAAATTTTTCCCACTGACATGAGCTCGATGCAGTGGCTGACATGAGAGTGTAAACAATAAATGACCATATGAAAACAAAGACCACTATTACAAATTGAATTGAAATCTCCACAGGTGTGGATGCAATAATGGATATTTTCACATGCATGTCAAGTTTCATAAAGATCTGTCATGCCCATTTTCTCAGGTTGGAAAAGATCTGGAAAACCTGGCTCTTTCAGGCCTTACAGAAAACCCACACAACGACTAACAACTGAAAGTAACACACACCCATCGTTGGACTTGTGCACCGAATATTGAGGTAAACAAAGTAGAGTCAACATGTTATCTGAAGAAATAAGGAATGCATAAACAGCTCAGAACTCCAACAAATATCCTGATTCAATTTGTGGGAAGAAATTGAGTCAATCTTTTGAAGGCAGAATTATTAATCTCACTGCTGATGATCAATCAAAGCTAACTGGGCTTCATTTCCACAACGGAGTCTTGCCAAACAAGCTAAAGAATCACCGTCACACACCCCCCCAGCACTGTGTTAATCCAACTGTGAGTGCAATGACACAATTCAGAATGGTTAACTGCCGCAAGACGGGACATGGCACTTTTCATCTGAAAGCACCATGCATCCATGATAACTACCTCATCTAAAGAATCTTTCAAGAATCTCATCTGCTGATTACCAGACCTATCAACCTAGACGCACTCCTTCCTGAGGTCAGGCAACCACAGAATAGATTAAAAGGTATTTAAATGAGCCTTCAGTTCATTTACTATTTTAATCTATTGTGTGGTAATGCCTAACCTCAGGAAGGAGTACGGCCTGTTGGCAGGTCTGCATGACAAAGACATACAACACTCAATGTTCTTTTGCATTACAATTTTACTATAACATGGCAGGCTGGACTTCTGTGAATACTCATGTTCATGTACATGGGTGAGTGCAGGATGAATACTTTTCTAAGCTATGAAAGGTTTGCAAAGATTTCATCACATTAGGAAAAGTTGACATTGGAAACGTGACTTTTCAGTTTATTTCAACTTGGCGGCAGCCTTTTTGCTCAATCAATCAAACGGACACAATGTATGGGGAGGAGCTATGAAGAAAATGACCACCGTAACTTGTTGTGTGGTAAGGCTGGTCATCCTCAGTAGTCCATACAGCATTCTCTGTTTTCCTATGGCTTTGCCTGGGAAAATATAATATCCAATGGGCCTTTCAAAGGGGCTAGTTTTCCTATGCCATGTACAATAGTCAATACTGGTATACGGTGAAGGGCAATAGGAGATCAAAACCAGGGAAATAGTTTGACATTCACGCATGCACACCGGTGATAAAGAAACAACAAGCTCACATCAGTCATTACAGTGCCCTCTACAAGCACACCATGACACTTTGTGGTAACACCTTGCTCACTAACCTGTCCTTGGACTCTGAGTCGATCAGCCCCTTCACGTCTTCCTGCAGCGACTCGTTGGTGCGATTCATCTCGCGGATCTAAATGGGGTTAAAGCAAACGACAGACGTTGAGATCGCGACAAAGGCAAAACATAAGCTTTCATTCGCAATGTCTGACCTGAATCATTTCCCTGTAGATCAGCTCTATGAGGCAGACATCAAACAATGCCTGACATAGTACAAAAAGTCCTGATATGGCACTTAAACCAACTAATTCAATTTGACAATGAATGCAATTTCCAGGTCACTTCACTTTACCACTTTTTCTTGTGGCAAGCCAGCGTACATGTACATGAATGGCTATGTCTGTAGAAGTAAGTTACACTGTTGGTAACTTTTAATGGAATTCTGAGTTAAGGGCAGAGTCCTTTTTTTTTTTATATTACTTTTCGGTTTTCATTTCGGACTTCTTGGTGTCACAGAAAAAAAGTAAATGCCTCCAGAACTGACCTCTGGTCCCAGTTCATCCATCCGCTCCTTGACCTGTTTGAGTTTCTTATCGGCACTGTCTCGCCAATCATCAATCTTCTCAAGTTTCTCTCCTTGCTCTTCCAACATAGATTTAGCCGCCTGAAGAATGAAACAAAATCAGTGAAAGATGCTGCCAGCAACACTGGAAAGACATAAAGAGCCGAAGAAGACACAGGTGCAGACAGCGAATGGTCACAATCTTCAGCCATTAGAAAAGTATGATGACAAAGACTTTCAGAATGTTAACAGACTGGGATGAAAGTACAAGTTAGGCTCTACTAGAAGAAATGCTTTGGGATGAGAATGGAAGTCAGGAAAGCAGACGTGTCAAAATGACATACACTGGAAGTTAGATGCAAGAACATTTACTGATCTGAGAAAGATCAACCATCTGACTCTACATTCAAACCACACAAACATCTGGGGTGTGTGCAAACGAACCCAGACTGACTACAGAATGTCAACAGTACATCAAGGACTGGAGGACACACAATTAAAAGATGATTCACCCAGGTTTGACAACTTCAGCATGCTATTTTTGATATTTATCTTTGGCCTCCTAATCAGTGCTTCAGTAAACAGCAATTAACTTCCCTCAAGAGGGATAATTAGAAATAAGAGTAGATGCAGAAGGAAATTTATAGAAGTCTGAGATTCTTTTCCAATTTTTAGTTTCACCTTAAGATCCACAGTCGGTTTCAAAAGTTACCTGCAAAACTATCGCAAGATCAACATAAGACCTCCGATCTGTTACTCGTGACTGGTCTTATGAATACCCTTGTGGTCTTGACTGGAACACTAGTCCAAAGCCAGAGGGTACAAATTTCCCAATCTGGCATCAGCTACCCGACCAATACAAGTAACAGCCCCAACAGGGACTGAGTCTGGTTTTCCAACACCTAACTGACTGCTTCACTGTAGTATCTGCTCCCAGACACTGGGTTAGGTTAGTTCCTATCAAGTAACGGCATTTCCTCCCTCAAAAATAGTTGACCTAAAGCAGGTGTAGTTCAGGGGCCAATTTCACAGACCTGCGTAAGCACAAAATTTGCTTACGCGCTAGAAAACCTTGCTTGATAAATCAGGTAACCAGCCAAAATTCCATGACAATCACATAGAGTTTGAGCTTGTAACCTTTCAAGGTTTCATGCTTAAGCAAATTCTGTGCTTAAGCAGCTCTATGAAATTGGCCCCTGAGCATGAAAAACGGTGTGGTGTATACGGCATCGAAATCAGAGTACATTCTGCAGTGAAGGTGCAATTCATAGTTAGGTTTCAAACAAAGCTAGGGAAAGACGGTAAAGGCCACCACTGCTGGTATTTTGAGTGACAGCTTATACATTTTGGGATCTTTTGACTATCTGTGGGATCATAGGCTCAGACTAGATGACAGCATGACAATTCACTGCATGTTTCAAAAAAGGTCAAGGCATTTGCTTCTGAAACTGAAGCATCAACCAAGATGGAAAATGAAATCAACTCAGGTGGGATTTGAACTTGTGACCTCTGGAACACTGAGCTGATGCTCTACCAATTGAATCATCCAGTCCTGTGCTGGTGGTTCCTCCAATTTGTCAATATCTTCACTCAGGGGCACTAGCAATGAAGCAATTAACCCTAGATATGAAATCAAAGGGTCAATTGCTCAAAACTCATGATATCCAACTAGCCTGTTGCAAACCTGGGAAGTGGTAAATGCAGATCACTCAAAGTGGGTATGTCTTCTGAAACTTACTTAGTAAAGGAAGGGAAGATTAGAGGAAAGCCAATGATATCTTTGAAGGGAAAGGGCTAAAATAAGTAGAAGAGTAATGCGTGAGTTCCTCACAAGTCAGCTGACAAGTCAGGTGACATGTCAAGTCACAAGCAACAATGGATGAGTGACAAAGGAATGCCTTTGTAAACAGCTCATTTGAGAAGATTGTGACTTGACTTGCATCTGAGGACTTGTAAAAAGACTTCTGACATGACTTGTGAGGACTTATGATTAGCCTGTAAGGACTTAATCAATATGAAGCACACCGTTAAGGCACTCAATGGAAAAAAAGAGCAATACATGTACCTGCTTATCCTGTCATGGTGAAAACCAATCATACACAAATACAAAACAAGAAAACAAGTCTTCATTATTGTGATTTTGACTTCTGTGATTTGGACTGCCAAATCCCTTCACAAAATCCATTCAAACATGTAGAACGCTTGATATGGAAGGTTGAGCAAAGACAAACATGAACACAATCATGGAATCCATAGAGTCTGCATGCAGGGAATTCTGAAAGACTCCATTGTATATTCACGACTACAGTTGACAACTGTGTAAAGACTAACTGCCAATACTGACCACACATGACACAGAATTAAAAGCATGTGCTTGCTTACCATAGGATAATCAGTGAGAAACAGCTTAGGAGCAATATGACAGAATATGAAGTTGAAGATTAGTTAAAATACATCATAATCATCATCCAATGCCCGCGGTAACTAGCCCTCCTGTGCTACTTCCAGGAAACCTGGAGGATACAATTCAGGGCCCAATTTCATGGAGCTGCTAAGCACATGATAGTACATAAGGGGCTGTGTGTATTTCATGGAGACCATAAGCAGTAAGCAAGGCAAAAGGCATGCTTACCTTGGAGGAAAAATTGGCTTAACACAGTGCCAGAACAGGGAAATCTCTACGCACACGCAACCGTAAGCACAACCATGCCAAGTACACCTGGTGCCAAGCAAGATGATTCTGAAAGCTTTTAGAGAGCAACTCAAAGGAAAACATGTTTTCTCTGATTTGATCTGTTTGAGTGAACATGGAAGCATCCAAATTGAATGCAACTGGCTTCAGAGCTAAACTGTAACAACCTAAAAAGGGGCCTTTTTCTGCTCATGCCAAGAGGGAAATTCTGAAGGTAGATTGTGTCATTCAGAGAAAACAGAGAAAATGAGGGGAACCCTCGCCCTGTGTCTATAGTGGATAAACCCTTGTGCATACCAAACAATGGCTACATGCATGCATGATTTCTCCAAATGACGCAATCTACACTCAGAATTTCCATCTTGGCATGAGCAGAAAAAAGCCCTTTTTAGCTTGTCATAGTTGAGCTCTGAAGACAAATGACACTGCGTTTGATTTGGAGGCTTCCATATTTATTTGAACAAATTAAAATCAGAGAAAACATGTTTTCCTTAGAGGTGCTCTTTAAGCAAGTTCACAAAACTTGGCCCAGCTGTTGGTGTGCTGTAACTTTTGTCTATAGCTGAAGTCCATTTGAAGTTCCTTAACATAGTGTCTCCTCAGCTTGAAGAAAGATATGTACAGATTCTCCTCCAAATATGAATTTTAAGATGTGAAATACTGTTTTCAAGGAAGACACGTGCAATCAAAAATATTCAACCGATACAGTGATGCATCAAAATGGCATGCGTTGGACAGCTTTCTGTATACATGTAGCAATGGAGAGAGGTGCTCACTGCTTCAATTAAACTTGAGACACTTCAGGTGAGGAAAATATTTCAAGGAACTCAAGACAGAAGTATAACAAAACAATTACGGACTGCTATGACGTGGAACATGATGTTTTAACACCCTCAAGGGACTCATAGCACCCTTAGCTTTGCCTTGGAGGTTATTCCCCTAGGCGTTAAAACAATATATCCCACATCAAAGCAGTCAACTGTCAAGCAACATTTCAGGGGTTAGTACAAGCAAATTTTACCCTTTCCATCTGTATCGACTCTGTAATTTGAAGTATTTGTAAGTCTCTAAACACGTGGAGTTGCAGCAAATTACATTCACTGAACCATTTGAAAGTAAAATGAAAATGGAATCAAGATCAAACTGTGTGGTGTTGTAAAACCCTGCACGTGTATCTGGCTCCGACGTTAAATTGTCGCAGCTTTAAACCATGTCCACTAACACAGTGTGGCAATGGAACCACTGAAACAAAATGTAGTGCGAAGTTGGCATATTAGCCAACGGGCACTCATAATTAGGAAAATCACTAATTAACTGGATTCCTGAATGAATGATAGCTTACCTTATCATCAATGGCCTCAGCAATAGCCTGAGTGAAACAAGAAGAAAAAAAGTTTGAAAAACAATACATGTATTTAAAACATTTCATCACAATGTACAAACATCTATGATACAAATTAAAAAAAAATGTCCTACATGTAGGTTAAGGCACTGTTTTTCTGGTTAAGACACCGCTTAATGCATTACGAGGCATCTATATTTTGCTGATTAATTTTAAGCCCAATCCAACAATCTATAAATTTTTTTTACAAATTTGGTCATTAACAATGAAACCATACCACAGTACCAAAATGATCACCATTTCTACACTACACGCGGTTGACAAAACAAGTAAGATTCTATGAACCCTTCATCATAGCTGGACATTCTACAGGAGAGTTCCATCAAAATTTTGCAAAATTGACGTTGAAACTGTTTGCATGACATGAGAGTTGTATACACCTGTATCGTCAAGACCATCACGAGACGAGTTACATCTAACAGGGTGAACTGCAACAAAAGAATGCTTTTGTTGCAGTTCATTTAATCAGCTCATTACATCCAGTCTAACTGGAGATCTTGTGCTGGTCTTTGTGGCTGGGTCTTGTGACGGTCTCACAGGGTCTTGACTACCAGGCTGGTACGGGATTTCTCCCCTCTCAGAGCAAACATAAACATCTTACCTTCCTTATAGTCTGCTGAGTTTCCTCTTCCTGTGATGCTAGCTTGGTTTGTAGGGCGACCACCCGGGCATCAAGGTCTGCCAGGCCACGTAACCCTCCCTGGCTCTGCTCCTCAATCATCTGCTTCACCTTGTCTTGGTACTACATACACATAGACAGACCCCCCCCCCAAAAAAAATATCACTTGAGCTTTCCACTGCAGGCATCAGTAAGCAATGGGCCACAGTGCAAATGAAATCAACATACAGATGTAACAGATAATTTTCCTACATCAGTTTTGGCCACCAAAACCTGAGCCATTGGTTGTAAACACGGCGAGAGAACCCATTGACTGTGGACAGCAAATGAAGTGTTTGAACAAAAAAAACTAAATTTTGGACTTTGGTACAATGAAAAACTTCTTGATAAATATTTAGGAAAGAAATACTCAAAAAAAAGAAAAGAAAAGGGCAAGCACTTTATGAAAACGTCAAAAAAAATTTCATTTGACTCTATCCAAAATCTTCATTTCTTTTGGTAAGTACATGCTCTGCAATGTCAGTATCATAAAGCTTTGTCCAAAACAAACTGTCTCAACATGTGGCAGTAAACTTGGTGCTCGGATTTGTGGGAGTCGGTCACATTTTAGAACATAAAAACTGCTTGCATGCTAAACTCTACCAGTGAAGACAGTCTGGCGACAATGAAAATAACAGATGAAATATGTCAAGAGATTTGTCTCATATCTTTCGCTGGCTCTAACAGCAAAGGTCATTGTCAATGAGATGTTTTTAATCTTAATCACAATGACCCCTTCCACTGCATACAGAATACATGTTTTTGCCGAGAATGGTTCAACGAAAGAAATCATTTTTCTTCCTCTAACGCGAACCTCCGGCTTTTATCTCTGCAGCTTACATAAATTTCATAAGGTGTAGTTGATCATGTTTAAATGGAGAGTGTAAGGTATATGTTGCAACATGTTCATTTTCCTCTCTTACTGAAAACAGATTAAGCATGGCTGATGTTGCATACTCTATGAAAATTTCTGTCAGTGCATTTTTAGAACGCGCCAGAGTGTTCCTGTGTGGTACTCTGAATGATTGACATCTCAAATATCTGAGCAGGTGAATGGCCTGGGACTTGACTCCAAACTGGCTAACTTCTCAATGAGTTGTGACAGACAAGTGAGGACCTTTCATTGGCTTATGATGGACTTATGATGACTTGCAATTGACTTCCGAGGACTCCTGATTGATTTGTGATGAATATGACGATGTGCGATTGACTTTTAATGACTTGTGATGGCTTGTGATCGACTTGTGATGGCATTTTGAAAACTAGCAATTAACTTGTGATCGACCTACAATGACTTCTGATTCACTTGTGATGGACTTACAATGACTTCTGATTCACTTGTGATGGACCTACAATGACTTCTGATTCACTTGTGATGGACCTACAACGACTTCTGATTCACTTGTGATGGACTTATAATGAACGTGTTGATTACAGTTCTTGAGTAATGAAAGGCTCGCCACATAAAAGGTCATGCAGTATACGTGCTTCACACAAACCTACTTGTACAAGCATTTACCACAAAGAATTCATACTTATTGGAGTACATGTACACAAGACAGAACCAAATGCAGAGTGCATGCAATGAGCATGGAGACCGTGACTAGACAGATACTACATTACATAAACATCTCTCACCCCGTCGGTACTTCCTTTAGGCTGAAACAAACATACAAACAGTAGCCAAAAAGAGGGATTTGAACGGCATTATTATTTAAATTTTGGCCAAAAAAAAAAGGACGGCTGATTTCTACAAAGCTTGTTTAGAAGTCAAACATCCAGGATTAATATTTGAAGCACCCCTCCAACAGAGGAAACTAGAATTTTCAACTCCAATCCAAGTTGATCACATACTGGTACATTCACCAGGCACAGAGTTAAATCATACAGACTGGTTGCCTGATTTGTGAGTGCATGCATGTGTTTTTTTTTCCTGAAAAATGTGCATGTCGTTCTTTTCTGTTTTGAAACGGTGACTTAGTTCCAAAGGCATGCCTGCACACTGCAAGCATAGCATTTCTTTGTATCGTCACCAAAGTCGACTCTGTGAAAGCAAAGTGATAACAGGACAGGAACTATCCAAAAGAAACAATTCATGGAGGGTTTGCTTCTCTGACCACTGCTCTTCGAATTCCTAAAGCGCCGCACGCAGTGCAGTCAAGACAAATCATCCTATTTTGATTTCCAATATTGCCAGTTAATGAGTACAAATGCATATCGTGAGTGAAATACAGCACAGTGTTTTGTTTCATCATTACATATATCAGTGGAGGGAGTCTTTAGCATTTAACCTGAACTGCTACTTAATGAATATGGTCCGTGCAATAACAAAGCAAGTTGGGGATAAACACACGTTGTTGTCTTTCGCACCTGGTTAGTTGCTGAGGACACCTGCTCATTGATGCCACCGATTGCCTGCTGTAAGGTGGAAATGGCCACGCCCAGCTTCTCTTGAACATCCTCAATCTTGTCTTCAATCTGCTTGTCTTGATTTTGCCTAAAATATAACCAAAATAAATATTCGTTTCAGGAAAAATGACACTTGAAATCCAATCCAATCAGGCAACAGAATTCAATGGACCCAAAAATTAGAATGTCTACATTAACAATTAGACAGCTTTTAACCTCAGTTGCTGCAATGCTGGTCTGACATCATTCCATTGTGATCACAGTGATGGAAAATCCAACAACGATCCTCCGATCAGTTGACCTTTGACACTGCTAAACCATCTGGGAAAGGATGCTGACTGAATGCCATGAAAGTCAGGATCACATTTGAACGACATTATTAAAACTGAGTGCTTTTTCTCCAGAAGGAAATACATGTAACTTGTCCAGATTTCCATGGGGTCATTTTGAAACCAGACTGACCTGGACTTGATCTCCGCCTTCATGACGGCTTCTAGCTGTTTCTTTGTCTCGTGCTGCATCTTTTCCAGCTTGTCCATGGCTTCATTGACTTTGCTCATCCCGCCAATGTTCTTATGCCTGTCCAACTACAAACAGCAAAGCACCACATGCATGTACTATCATCGTCAGAAAAGAATGAGTCAGGTTGATGCAATGGAACTTTCTTTGCCTTTTACGTTTTTGGCCTGGGTTCAAATCCCACCAAGGCTGATATGGGCTTCGGCCTCCTTTAAACCCCATATTTCTTCACTGTCTTCAAGTTACAATGCGGTTCTTACTTAAGAGCTACGATGCCTTTTGCAAAATCCTTGGCTTCACTGCGAGAAACTATGACAAAAAAATCTTCCTTTTGTTTTTCTTTATATCAGACATAATCAAACCTAACCCAATGATTTGAAGGAAAATGGCCAAATCTTGATGAGTTACATCCATATTACAAAACAACTCATTTACTGCAGGACAGGGCTTTCTTTGAAACACGGAGTATCGAGTTGGGTGATATGCAGGCCTTTTTTACATCTTGTAGATGGCAGATCCGTCAAGTAAATCTCTTCCATGATTTCCAGAAAGTGTGTACATACCCAATGTACACTTGCATAGGTGCACTGGCATGCAATATGACAGCACTCAAGCACCCACCTTTCCCTATTTTGACTGAGCCCACTGTAACTCCTCACCTTCTGTCCTTCACGGACATGTAGCACCTCCTCCTCAGTGAGTTTCTGCAGCGCTGCCCATCGCTTCTCATTCTCCTCTCGCATGGCTTGCTCGTGAGCAATACGAGCAGCCTGCTCAGCATGAAGGTACTTAAGACAAAACAAAATACATGGAGTACGTCGAATTTGGCTGGTGTAGAAATCAGATTTCCTACAGTTAAATTGCAAGGTCTAAGCTTCAAAATGAATACATGTAGGTCATCCTTACAAAATTGCAAGGATTTTCTATGACTTTTTTCAGGATGTATAAATCATACAATCTAGTTATCTGTAGATACAGACATGGCAGATCATCAAGACCACTTTGACTGGCTTCTGCCCAATGTCTGACCATGCTAATGCCACCAATTTAGGGCTGAGCCAATTCGAATAATTTACTATTTGAATATTTGACGTTCAATTTGATGCACTGACCGGCAGATTGTTGATGAACAAATCATATACAAATCACTTGCAATAATACACACAATTGTACATTATGATCAATATGATAGCTTCTCATTTCTAGGAGTATCTACAGCCACGATTTAGCAGGATTTAAGTGATGAACAAGACTTCTTGTTGAAAATTTCTATTCCTTTTAAATTGTTTAATGAATAATTTACTTTTTCAATCGTTGTAAGATTTCTGAGGCTTTTCATCTGAATCTGCTTGAAATATGCCTCCATAAAGCAATTTTTTTCATTTAAAAACAAAAGAAAATTTTCCCTTCCTTTTTATGAATTTTGCATTTGAATATTTAAATTTGAAAAATAACATTTGAATATTCGACAATCTATGGAATATTTGGATATTCGGCACAGTCCTACCCCAATTGTTTTGTACAAAAACACAAAGTCCAAGAGCTCCTTGAAGTCTGTAAAAGGTAGAGCGTGTGTTGGCCTTAGAAAATAGCTGCTCAGCATGGCCTCTTGTAGCTGCAATTATCACTCCATGGGCACACCACGGAGTATTGACAATAATGAGGTCATGATGAGAAATATTGCACAGCTACTGTCCAAATGACTGATGAGAATCAATGTTTATGGCATTTGGCTGAATATCAAAAGTTGGCTGCCATCTCTTGCCTTTTCTGAAAGTCTCAGCTACAGTCGAGTACAGAGAGAGTTGCGACATGAGTGTCACCAAATGTTGTTACTGACAGGTGTATGCGCCGGTGCACACAGACAGTTAATATAGGACAACCACACCCTCTCTACGATTACTGGCGGGCGATCATCTCCATTAATCAATTAATCGTGATTAGTTCCTCCTAATGGATTTCCTTGTGGATTTCCAACCAGTCGATTAATCGCGCCAGCCCGAGTAGTAACTGCAGAATTACGTGCGAGTAGTGATTGTTATGGAGTACCGATTAAGTTACACACACTACCACACTGTACATGTACACTGTGCGAGTTTTTTTTAAAACTTAACTATGAAGTTGTAAACACGATAGTAAGTCTGATATTGCAACAAAACATCAAGTTAGATGCAAAAGAGCCAAACATTACGGTACTTCAAATTAATTAAAATGCTTCAGGCCTACAATCAGGGATTGGTTTTAGAGACAAAGCCTCAGACGGAGACAAAGGTGAAAAACTGCCCTTAGTCACATGTAGTCGTAGCACATACAGTACATGTACATGTACTGTATGTACTCGGATCCAACTGTTCATGGAGCTCAATTCTCATGGAGAATACTGCCACTGGCTTTCCAGATTTCAGAATTAATGAAATAACATAAAAGCAGAAACACTGAAAAACAAACTTGCCCTGGCACTTGCTGCTGCATAGTGTGCATTATACTTGTGCAGAATTTCTGCAATGAAACTGATCTGAAGGCCATATTCATGTGTTTACACCATGTTACTACATGTCTCGGAATATTTGCCACTACTCGTGATTAATCGCGATTAGTTCGTGCATGATTAATTGATTAGCAAAATTCACTAATTGCCATATCTATGATACTATGATAGCAGCCATTTTGTTACCAAAATCTGAAGCTGACACTACTCTGTATATACAGCTCTGATCTGAGCCTAGTCCTACCTTCTCAATGTTGCCAAACTTCTGCTGTGCCTCCTCCCGAAGCCGGATCTCCTTGGACAGGATCTTGCGGCTGACCTCCTCGGCAATCTCAGCAATCTTGCCTTGCATCTTGAGTCGCTCGTTGTCGGCAGCATGCTCACGCTCCCGCTGCACCACGTCGATGGTGTGCAACGTCTCATCCCGCTTGCGTGACTGCTCATGGACCTGGGACTGCAGGTCGTTGATCCTGCCCAAAGAGTGAATATAAAGGCCCATTAATAAAGATGAGTGGTAACGGAATAGTAGTGACTGAAATGTGGAAACTCACTTAACATGCAAATACGGGCAATTCACAATAGTGCACCTCCAAGAGTTTACAACACGTTGGCCAACCACAACACGCGAAATCTGTCGACCCTTTCCAAATGCACATTGGGTCAGCAGATTTCGTGCATTGTGATTTGCCAATGCGTTGCAATCTCTTGGAGGCGCACTATTGTGAACTGCCCATATTATCGACCCTCCACAATACCAACAACCCACAGAAAGAAGCGAAGGCACAAGGATGTGCTCATCTATGCCAGCCTATCCATCACATCATACTGATCATCACTGTAAATCATGAGCCCTACATGTAATCCAAGGACGTGCAATTAGGCACCACATTCAAATGCACTTAATTCATCAAAGAGGCCTTTAAGACAAGTATATAACCAGCACACGAGCGTAGTACCATTCAACTTCAGTATAAAAGGCTTCTAATTCCGAGTGTAAAATAAATCTATAAAGTGTTTTTAATCTGGGATACACAGAGCAGAGCTGGTGCATCCTGCAGCCACTCGCAGAAACCAGTGTAAACCCCTGCTCTCTCTATGTGAGATTGCTAATGAGTGCTGATATAGCACACAGGACTTAAAAGTCAAACTTTATGTAAAGTAGGGAGGGGAAATCCCATTTTTTGCCAATATCACTGCGATCCTTTCTTAAGGCAGTTGGCAGTTACACAAGGCCTTGTGAGCTTCTCTGGTATCTTACATCTTTAGAATGATTTTATGAACAGTGGACATTTTGTTGCATGTGATGTCGGATTCTGGAGTGGAGGATGTTAGAAACAAGGGTAGGTTCTTCCACTAACCACAGATCCAAAAATGTTCGTACAGGGATCGCAGTGCAACTTATGAATGGCAAGAACCACAACAAATCTTTCTTTGACTACATTTGAATGTTCTAGATGTACTGAGCATGAATGCCTTTGTGTACATAGCAGATTTTACAAATATCTGTCTTTGGAGAAGCGGAATGTTTCGACAAGTTTACAACTTAGAAGAAAACAAGAGAAAGCAGCGTTTACTTGAGGAAGAAATTCTGTTCCTGTTGCCTTCGTTCAGTCTCCTCTGTGGACACTCGATTTCTGAGATCCATCAGAACGTCCCTCACCTCACCAAGCCTGCAAAGAACCAAGCCCAGATTCTCATTTCCGTGAATACGCCACACTTCTCAGACTATGAGTAACACAGAATGGGATGAGTGCTGTGAATGAATGAAAGTTTACATGCACATGGAACTTTAACATGCATGAAATGAATATGAACCCAAACCAACTTGAGAATCAGCCAATGTCCAACGCCTTGGTCCAATTTGTGTGGCTCTGCTTACAGTTACCATTCTGTGCTCATAAAGCAGAAATTCTCTGCAAACTCTGTATTAAACAGGATGTCTGCAGGCAAGCAAGGAAAACATCCGTGTGTCAGACACTAACCTGCATTAAACCAAACTATCTGCTATGGCAAAAGTTTTTCAACTTGCAGTCAGCAGGGCTTCAAAATGAACCTATGTGTTCTCTAAGATTCAGAAAAAGTCGTCTCCTTTGCTCTACAGAGTGGACAGTAGCAGATTTACAAAGGTTCTCAGCAAAATGCCAAGAGTGGCACCAACTTCATGGAACAGCTACGCAAATAGGAAAATATATGCCAGGAAAATATCTGCTGAACAAAAAAACAAGTTACCGGCCAAACATCCGTGCAATGTAAATTACATGAGCTGGTTCTCAGCTGATCTTTGTTTGACGCATAAATTTGGTAAGTAACATTTTCTTCTTAGCCATTCCATGAAATTGGGTCAAGATTAATATTACTAGCAGCTTGGGCTAATGGGAAAGTACGTGTAGAAGTTATCTGTTCATATGAAATTTTAAAAAGCTGTTAATACAAATTTCACAAGGAAAGGTCACCAACAGGCTAATGGGCAACAGACATGCAAAAAAAATTGTTAAGCTTCAAACAGAATTCGAAATGTTACATGTGAATCTTTAAGGGAAATATTTCTCTAACTGTAGACAACTAGACAGTAAAGAATTACTGTTTTGTACTTTGTGACGGATGAATTAACAAGGTTGAGACGACAGTTTGTCTACCTGCACAGCTTTAATCACCAAATGATGCCAGGATTCGTAACAAACAACAACTGAATTTGCAATCTGTAAACTGCAGGGTCTGGATTTCCATGGAAGGGTCACACAAGTGGATACACAAGTCAACAAGACTGTAGCGTTGAAGTAGTAAGAAAATCCTTTAACAGATACTTCTGTATTTTTCATTGGTAAAAACAAGACTTTTTCAGTTTTTGTTCTATTGCTAGTATATTTGAAAGCAAAACCACTTGCAGCACTAGCTCTTAGCTGAAATATTTTCCACTGAAGTAATAATAATGTAAGAATCCACCTCAATCATTTCAACACATAAAACTGATATAAGCAAAGCAAAACGCCAAAAAACAATTCTTTAAATGGAAAAAATATACTAAAAAGAAAACAATCTTCAAATTGCACAGGGAGAGGATTATTTTGGGGAAGCACGGCCAACTTGATAATCACTCTCTGAACCGCCTTTCTATAACAACAATTCTGATTCATTATGTATCAAACTGCCAACGATGGACAAATGCCCATTAAGGTAATCCTTGATATCAGCTAAATGTTTTATATGGCTATCCAGCCTTCCCTAATGATCACATCCTCTTAGGAATCGACCAACCGGAACCTCTCAGTATTAACTTGAATCATGAATAATAAAGCAATTTGGAAGGCGATATGCCGCATGGATACACAACGGCAGACTCAGTGTCAAGGTTTTTCCTTAATTCGCAGCACTGCCTGCATATTAGCTGCTTCAAAGCACAGCAATTGAAGACTATCACAACTTTCAGAATACAAGCCACGGCTTCTTGACCAAGTATTATTAAACATTGATTCTCACCCTGAAAAATGTCTCTACGGCTTATACGCCGGGCGGCTTATATGGCAAACTTTGAAGGATAAAATCAGTCACAAAAGCCACCCCCCTTGTGCTGGTGGTGCAGTCATGTTTTTGTTGGTTGCCATTTACATAACTCGAACCTCAGAGGATGAATAAAAATTCAAATTGTCCAGATTTTGAGTTACTAAATGGAATACCCAGGTCACGGAGTCACGAAACACATACATGAACTGTGTACGTAATCATAACAAACTTTACTTGCTTTGATGTGATGGCAACATTTGAGTGATTATTTTCCTTCTTTTTATTCGTTCTCATGGTGTAATTTTTTGCACACAAATAATCCTTTTACTGAAGATACTTTTTCTGTTGTTACCTACAGATTTCTTTCTACTGCTAAATAGAAATAACCTGCTTATATGGTACATGTACCTTGTACCTTCGTGCAGCAAATCTCATCTTTTCGCCATTCGTATTTGGCGTGACATGCCACAGAATTTGAGGCTTTCTCTCACTTGGGTTTTCTGATGACATCACTTTTGTTGGTCACATGGTTAACGAAAAGATTTAGCGATTGGACTGTCCATGAATGGGTCTGCGGTAGCAGTCAGGATTGCCAGGAAGCAGAGTTTGTTGTGGTCGGTGCGGGGTGGTGTGATGCAGTGCGTGTGCCGTGCAGCATGCATGCAACACAGGGGGATGTGCTCGGCAGTGACGACACGAATCAAGGTCTCGCAGCAGTCATTTACCTCCTATTTTTGAAGGGATTTGGTAGTGTTTTTTGATCAGTGTCACAAAGATAACCAGATGTAGCGTTGTGAATATTTCATGTTACGGAGGTATTTTTGCACATAAAATCGCATACTTTCAACGAGAAAAAGTCGGCCTATGAGATAAAAAAGGTCTTTTGACTTGACTGATTTCAATTTTTTAAGATTTTATTTCCTGTGTGGGCTGCTGCACGGCCCACACGGGACAATCATCCAGCCTGTAAAAATTATCAAATTTTCAAGACCTTTGTGGTTGGATGATCATCAGCGCTGCGATACAGCTAATACGCCCACTTCAAATTTTAATTTGCTGATTTTTGTGTGCATGTGGCTTATACCCGGCTTATATTCCGAAAATTACAGTGAATCTCTAGCCTGGACTTTCTTCCTTAGGCAGGTCAGATGGACGTGTGAAATAACCTTGATATCAAGTGCACAGGAGGATGTCAAAGCTAATTGGAATTTCAGAGTGAACCTAAAATTATGGCAGGAAAACCATACTGATCATAATACTAACATGAATACATTTATAACGTGCACAGATCTAACAATATCTGGTATTCACAGGCACTGACTATAATCCCTGCTAACTGGGATCACAGCATCTGACCATGCCTACATGTACATCATCTCAGCTCCCTGGAAAATACACGTTCGAGTATGTACATCTCCATGCTGCCATTTCAGGCACAAATGGCTAAACCCAGTAACCATATCTGCATGTACTGTACTGTCACAGCTACCCATTTATACTCCTATCATTGGAGAGAAGAGAGCAAGTGGAGTATAGTGACTTGCCCAGTGTCACAAGGTATGCAGAGGCTGGATTCAAACCCCTGATCATATTATTGGTTGGGACACACCAATCCTAATGACTAGACTACATGTGTTGAATGAGCACTTTGGATGAGTACCGTAGAAATTACGAGTGTTTGGACACGGAGTTTGAGACAAGCATGGATGGAACAAATACATGTAATTCACCTAAAAGTGGAAAAGGATTCAAGATTTGTTTTGCAAATACTTGGAAATTTCAAGCACAACTTTCTCAAATACCCAGATTCCTACCAAATACCAAATCCCACATACATGTACCTGTACATACACTCAAGACTATACTGCCTTTCTGAGATTTTTAATAGAAGGCTACATAAAATGTAAAGTTCACGCTATTCACAGCTGATAAACTGCAATAAAAAAAAACCCTAGCTCAGACAGCACTATGCAAATTACTTGAAGTCTATTCAAACCAAATTCAATGGAACACTGTGGCTGACGTAAATGACCAATAAAAGGAAATGAGTTTTACAATCACCATGACAACCACTGCTTGTTCAAGTAATGAGCAAACCCTGACTTGTTTACTCAACAAAATTAAAATTCACAAAACCTAATATTAAAATTGACTTTTTTTTCCACTCGTATTTCACACTGCCTCTCCAGAAGCCACACCAAGGAATTCACCTTCATGTGCTGAGTGCACATGGACCTTGAACTTATGCGTTGAGGCAAAGTTACAGTTTTTCTCAAAATTATATATCTATATAATAAATACATTATATTTATATCAACATCATATATTATGACAGTACTATACCCCTGTCACAGTCACACGCCAGTCCCTCTCAACGTCATTAGTAAATCAACTTCTTGGTGGTGGTTGGTACTTCTTGCAACAAGAAAATATTTTTCAAAGCAATTTGCTCTATAGATGTTCAGAGACTATGGAATATAAGAGACTGCATTTATGGTCACTTTCTCTGGGTGTCTAAAAATACTGCCAACTCAGTGAATCAATGGGGTTTTATTTGAGTTTGAAACAAGTTACAAGTTTTGTAACTTGTTACAAGTTTTGCCTGGTCGGGAAATGCCTCTTTCAAATAGTTTGCTTTGAAATAGACAATTCTTTTGTCATCAACCTTCCAGTCTTCTTGCACTCTGTGTACACATACTGACTGGTCTCACTGTATACTCAATCTGGCGACAGTGTACTCGGGAGATTATCTGAGGAAAGTCAACGTTTGGAAATGAAGGGCAGAGTCAAAAAGTGAAGTTTGTTACCTAGCATCCAGCTGAGTCCTGAGCAGGGCCGTAGCCTGCTCAGATGAGTGCTGACTCTCATGCATTTTGCGCTGTTGATCCATCTTTTAACCAGCAGCATGAAAAAAGATTCATGAA